ATGATTCCTGTTCTATTGGCAGTTGTACATTAGAGAATTTTAAGAGTGTGACTAGTCTTGGTGCCTTTTTTCCGGACCCTTCCTGTTCCTCCCATATCCAACCAATTTCCGAAAGGACTTTTCACCAAACTGTCTACATAGGGGAGCTGAGGGTATCTGGTATAACTCAGACTCTCATCTTTTGTTTTACAAACTCCTGCATCTTGGCTGTTCCCGTCTGTTTTTCCCCCTCGTTCTTTTCTGTGTTGCTGAAAAAAGGCTTTGCCACATTGCATAGGACAGCTGTGGACAAACATACTGACCCACAGAAGTTAATTTATCGGGCGAACAGCATCCTCTCCACACAACGTCCTCCATGCCAGCCATCAGGACGTTTCAGGAGCAAAAACAAGACTTTATGCATGTACTACAAAATATAAGGGAGTTACATTTATCGTTATACGAGTTATTCGGTTAGTGGGGCCAATACATAACGGTGAAGAAAGAACCAGTGAAGCTTCTTGAACGCACACTGCCGGCTGAGGTAGTCTGTTAAAACTGACGCCACCACTATACGTTAGGCAATTTCGAAATGAATACATATATCTTCGGGGATACATTCAGTTAAAAGACCGTTACTCCTCGAAAGCTGAGAGATGTCGACGGACTTGCATTCCCTGTTACGGTGTGTGTGCCAGCACACACAGAAGAGATGTAACCTGGGAGCAAAGTTAGGGATATATGTTGAGCAGTCCAGCATCCAAAATCAACACTGTGAGTAGTGGAAAGTTGCAGTTTTTCGACTCCAGCTTCAAAATCTTAAGGGTTGGTCGAACATGCAGGAGACATGGGGATACAACTCCACCCCTTAGTCATGAAAAGCTCTTTGCCGCCGTAAATTCATACAAACGATTATTTTCCATAGTTGTTCACCACACCAATAGGTTACGAGGAATTCTATGAACACTGCCGTTTCAGTTTTCAGTCATCAGAATAGTAGGCCAGTTGGCCTGTGTTAATCCTTGCAGAAGATATCTCCGCGAAGATCTAGTTTCTCCTTGAACGCGTTGACAGAAGGTGCTAACACTACTTGCTGAGGTAAGGAGTCCCAGTCGTTGACAACACGATGGGAGAAAGGCAGATTCACGCTAAGTTGATTCGGTCGCTGTTTTAGAATTTTGTTGTTATTCCCCAGGAGATAGTCAGTCCTAGCAAGGGGGAAAAGATGGGGCATATATCGGTACCGAAGTCACTATTGAGAATACGAAATGTCAGTATGCGATCATCCCGTCTTCTATGGTAAGACAGTGGGAATAAATTTAGCCGATTCAGTCGTTCTTTATAGGACAGATTCGAAAGGCTTGCCACAAGCTGAGAACTTGCCCTCTGAACACGCTGGAGTGCGTCAACCTCTTTTAGGCATGGGCTGGCCGCCTGAATGCAGTATTCCAAGTGAGGTCTAACGTAGGCAGAGTAGAGCATTCTAAACATGTCCTCATCAAATAATTTGAAAGCTCTGCTGATTGACAATAATATACGGAAGCCATTTGCTGCAGCTGCATTAAAGCTTGCCGAGGTTTTCAAATCATGACTAATGATGACACCCAAGTCTTTTATTTCGAGGACTGGAAGTAGTGGTGTGCAATCAACGGAATACTGGAAACAATTGTTATGACCAATGTGCATTAATGCACTTTTGTTAGAATTGATACCAACGTTCGGACCAACCTGCTAGTTCATCTAAATCCGCTTGAAGTGCATACCTATCTGCATCATTACATATGGCCGTCCAAATCTTCACGTCATCGGCAAATAACGGTACCGAACGGTTGAACATATTTGGCAATTTGTTGACATATAATAAGGAAAGTAGTGGAACTAGGATTGTCCCTTGATGAACTCCACTCATCACAGGTTTCCACCCGGATATTGTCCCATTTACCCTTTCTCTTTGCCCTCTATCGTTTAAAAGGTCCTCAATCCAAGCTTGCGATGAAGTATCAAACCTGAAGGAGGAGAGCTTTTTCAGTGGTTTCACATGAGACAGTTTGTTGAATGCCTCACTGAAGTCTGTAAACACGGCATTTATTGGCAGGTTGCAATCACTGACTGCAACCCATTCCTCTCTTACGATAAGTAGGTTAGTTAGACAAGGGTGCCCAGTACGAAAACCATGTTGCTGTGGTGCCAAAAGATTGCCTGATTCCACATGTTTGAGTACCCCGTCACGAATTGTTTTTAAAAAAATCTTAACAACTGTGCTTGTTAGACTCACAGGACGATAGTTAAACACCAAATGGCGACTACTGGTCTTAAAGGCTGGTCTGATTATGGCATCTTTCCGGTCTCTACGGTGGCGAGTCTGAGTTAGGGACATGTTGAAAAAATCCGTGGCTGGTTCAGCAATGATACCTGCTAGCAGGGATAGAAGTCTGGGATGCAACTCATCGGGACCCAAAGATTTTCCAGGTTTAAGGCTAATGAGCAACTGTAAGACCCTTTCCTTTGTTGTGAACACAGTATCTATTAGTGGAATAGTGCTGACACCACTATTTAGTACTTCATCGTCATGTTCTACAGAGAAGATTTCGCCAAAGTAATCGGAGAGACATTCGGCTTTGGACAGATTAGATTCCGCGAGACTATTAGGCTTCTCATCCGTTGCCAGAGAGGGAATTTCGTCTTTTCTTTTAGTCCTTTTACTGATGAATGCGAACAGTCTTTTAGGACAATTTTGGCAATCCCTCACCTCGTAAAACATTCGAGACCGCGTAATCAAAGTTTTGCAGAGATTACGGGCTTTAAAGTACTCGGTCTTAAATGTTTCCGGTCTAGTTTCTAGAAACAAGTCCCACAGATGTTTCCTCCGCCTTAACAGTCTCTTAATGTCTTCATTAGACCATGGAGGGCGATGTGGGGATCGTCGTGGAGTCGAAAATGGAATAAATGGCGTCGTTACCTCCTCAAATAAAGTTCCAAACCTATCCCATGCATTCTCAATTGATGAGTCCTTGTCAACGGTCCTATTCACACTTACTGCGCAATCCCTTATACTTGAAATGTCTGCGTGCTATACATTAGATCTAGAGGAAGCAGTGTCATAAACAAACCCATCAGTCCGAAAACCAAAAGTTAGTACTACATGGTCACTGTTAGCTAATGGAGGGAACTATCATAGATCCAGAATGTCTTCACATTGATGGGTTAAGACTAAATCTAATAACGATGGCTTGTGGTCAAAATCGTGACGTGTTGCACATGTTACGTTTTGAACTAGAGCAGATTCGAAGACCGTCAAAAGTAAGTCATTTTCGAAGGAACTACCTGGTGGTGAGACTGTTAGCTCCGTCCAGTTTATGTATGGAGCACTCAGATCCCCAACTATTAGACATCTGTTACTTTTACTCCAGTTGCGGATGGGTTAGCACGAAGTCATTTGCAAAGCAGGATGGACTAAGGTAAATAACACCGATAGTACAGAAACCATATTTTGACTTCAGCTCGCAACTGGCCACTTCACAAGTCTCATATTCATGTGCTTCAGAAGTGACCAATCGTAAGTGGACGTCATCCCTAGCATATGGTAGTATGCCACCGCCTTTGCGACCCATTACCCTATCTATCCTTACACAGTAATACCCTGCAAGGAGTGGCGTAAAATCTAAATCCCTTATTAACCAGGTTTCAGTAAGGGCTACTGCGTCAGGACCTAGCTAGCAGATTAGAGTCTCAAGGTCTGTCATTTTGCTTCTAATACTGCGAACGTCAGTGTAGATAACCTTCATTATGTTGGAAGAGTTCCATGACCCACCCATATAGGTCTTGGAAGCATTCGCTTCCAACACCTCACAGCCCGAAAAACCACTATTTTAAGATCGTTTTCACCATTAGCCTGTCGAGCCTTAAGTTCGGCAATAGCTTCTGTTCTTTTTAGGCGGTCCTCGAGAGGCCAGTCTGGTAGGATGCGGACGTCCGAATTTCGTAGTTTGGATGCGTTACTCAAGAGTACATCTACTTCATCCTTGTCGCCTAAAACAACCTTTAAGGTTCTCCTTTCATCAGGTTTTTCGCCCGCTTTCTTACCGGGTCGACCTACTTTAGAGATGTGTACCCCTTTGGACTTTTCAGGCAGAATGCCCGATGGCCGACTCGACTAGTTGCAGGTCGTAGCCGTGACGTATTGGACCATCTTTGTCTGATGACTCATCAACATTCCAGAAGATTAAACTGGGCGTTGGAGTAAAATCCTTGAGTCGTGTTAACGGCCTTTGGAACCTCAATAGGTTTCATAAGCTTAGCATCTTCTGCGATAACCTTTGGCAGCCTCTTCGGATGCTTCCTTGGAGAAATCCATGTAGGTTCGTTGACCACTTTTACAAAGTCAATGCTGTTATCGGAGATGCAGGCTTTAGGCGAGTCCTCAGGCATTATGGTTGATGTACCACTTACTCTTGGCTTTCTCTTGCGTCGAGTACGCTTTGGGAATAGTGTAATTTCACCAACTGGATCACTAGCATCCATTAGTCCACTGATAGGTCCTATGTCAGATATATTAACGATTACACTTGCGGCGTCGTCACCTGATACCGCACTAGAATGACAGCTACCATTTCCACATAGCCGTTTTTTAAGAAATAAATTTTCAACAGCTTCCTGGACGAGGGTTGGCAACGGCTTGCAGCAGAAATCACACAACCAGGGAGAAGTAGGTTTGCTGCAACTCTTGTACACGGTTGTTGTCAGTCGTGTACAAACTTTTTGGAACCAACATCCACATGCACCACACTTCATGCCTTTATCCACTGGAATTTACAGCTGGGATGACCGCAAACATGCTAATCGCTAACCATATTATTCCCTCGTGTCGTGTACTAACTAAAGTACTCGGTCAAAATTCCAACAATGGGACTTAAGTTGTGACAACACAACGACCAACCTTAAGCCTCAAAAAATGATTAAACTTCAAACACTGACTTAGTTGTTTCAAGTCAAGGGTTATATGAAAGCTCTTGATGTGGATTACACAATAAAAACAAAAATGTCAAAAGCGTGGAAAAATTCACTTCCTATTTTCAGAGCGAGGGCACTAAAGGAGTGTGAAGTGATTACAGTGCTCATGAACAATTAAGAACTGTATAAACTTTCAAGCTGATTTCACGAAACCTTTATATTTTTTTAGTCACGCTAAAAAAATCTGCACTTCGTGGTTCAATCTGGCGTCAAAATGTACTTCATAGCAGTTCTCGTGTTGTCACTGTTCTTAATTGAAGTGTCTCCTGAACCCTCATCTAGGGCTCTTATAGTAGCGGCAAGTGAAAGAGGGTCTTTATTTTTTCACTATGTTTCTGGTGAGTTATAAGTATTTGTATCAATGTTTTTACCCAAACAGCAGATGAACGACTATTCATTAATCCTCATATTTTGGCAGTTGCTGCTTTCGAGGATAAAATTAATAGCACTGGGTAACTTTAAATATCATATATTTTGAAATGTGAAGGTGGTCATCGCTCACGGTTTCAACGTCTGCTCAGTTTCCTGATTACCTTCAAGCTTATTGGGCTGGATTCTTGGAAACCAATCTCTCACTCAGTTTAACGGATGCTATGTGGATAAACACTGCTAGAGGTTCGTCTAAAATTCGTGAGGTGATTTAAGACTGGCTCTTTTATATCTCATAAGTCACCAAAGAATGAATTCGCTAAAAAGCACCCTATAAACTGCTGCCGGCTAGATAATCAATTTTGACCCTTTTCGATTCCGATTTATAGTTTGAGGTTAAAAGGCTAAGAGACTGTGTCAATTTTTTTTCAGCGGACCACTGCGGTTGTGCGTTGCTATTTTGAATGGTTCTATCGATGACACGGATGCCACATCTTCTTGGATTTGAATCGATGAACTGAATTATGATGCAAAATCTAGTGCCATTTGGGATGACATTGATTCTTTCCTATTCTGCTGTCTTTCCATGTCAACAGTGGTGTTGTTGTTTAGTGAAAAAAGAAATTTAGAAACTATCGGTCTCCACGTTTTGTCGTCAAATCCTGGATATCATGATTAAATCTTCCTTCTCTCAGCGAAAGGATTGAGAAAAGAGTTTCAGCTCCTTTATTCGTTCTTCGTAGTTCGGGATAGTCATTGGAGGGATCACACGTGTGGCTGCAATCGAAATGTTGTTCAGAAGGTCTGAGCCACCTTACGGAAATGGATTTGTCATTTGTGTACACTTTTCTGGCTTACATCTAAATAAGGATGCGTATAAAGAAGTTACCATATCACCACTAATTTTTTCAAAGTTCTGTATAATTACCACTGTTTCAGAAAACTTGGTTTTGAATAATTGACATGACTATGTGGCCACTAATTCGTGACACTGGGACTTATAGGTTGTTATAGCTTAATACTGGGGGTAGAAAAATATCATAATTATCGAAGTTGTTGGCGTCTAGATGTCTTATGTGCATGCTCACGCACTTACCTGCGTTGATAGGCGTCGGCGAATTCTGTGACCAGGTAAACGTCTTTGTTATCACTAATTTCCTGTCAGATTTGTACATCGCCAGTGTGCAGGACCATGAAGGACTTCACAACATTTGGCAGTTCATTTATATGCAATCAAAACAGCAAGTGACCTAGGAATTAGCCAAGCAGCACTTCACTGCGTACTGACTCCCAGAAGGAAGAGGTAGAATTGATCCTTACCCTCTATCTCTTACCAACAACGAACTGTCTGGTCTCAGAATTCTCCATGGCAGTTTAGTTTTTTTAAAATATCAACTGTCAAAGTTGATGTCACTTGTAAATTATTGATACTACGTTCATTTGTTGCTCATTACGGAACTTAACCACTTGATTCAATTTTAGTCCGTTTATTAGGAATGTCAAGCAATGAAACAGTATTATTTACTGGATAACGGTTCGTGCAATGATGTTTGTATTCATTTTGTGTGACTCTACAACTTTAAGATATGGTTTATCTATTACTCATCTTCTATATATTCATAAAATATATCTCAAAGTTATGGAGTCACATGATATGAACATGGACAACAATGTCCAAAACATTATCTAGTAGATAACACTATTTTCGCTCTGTGACACTTCTAATAAATGAAGTAAAATGAATTACAATCTACCATAGTTCCTATGTTTTACTTGTACATTAATTGACCACTTAATGTTAAAAATAGCACCACAGAGTGAAAATGGTTGTTAATGGTTTTTGAGTTTTAGCGTTACATTCTTCTCTGTTTCAAGTCACTGGAAGGTTAGAGAGAAAATTTATTATATGTGAAGTCATTTCTAAAGTTCCATAAAGCAGAATATAGTCGATTGTACTACTATAGTACGTAGTAGAGGAGTTTAAACTTGCCTTAAGTATTCACTCAAAAAGACAGTTGGATATTGGGGTTTGTTAATCCTTACTGCAATTATTTTCATGAAGATCCAGCTTTTAGTTGGATGTGAAAACCGAAGAGATTGCTGCAGCTTGTCTTGGCAGAGAGTTTTAGTAGGTGACCGCCCTATGGAGGAATCCGTACTCACTTGTGGCATTCACATACTTCGTGATATCCCATAGGGTAAACAGTTCCAGATGGAGTAAATAATTCAGCCAAACCAACGCCTAAGTATTTATTCAGAACGCTTAAAATCAAACCTAGGTCACCTCTTTCTACGACATGATAGGGGAAAAAGTCTGACCATACTAATCGCTATTCATAAGAAAGGTGGGAAAGACTATTCACTAGTTTACTAGCCATTCCGTGAACCCATTCTGGCATGTTCACGTCCTTTCTTGAGTCATGAACAAGATTCCCGGAAAAAATGCTGTAAGTTAGGCTTTACATTAGTGGGATATGGAATCATCAGAGCACTTGGATACTGTGCTAAGTATTCAAAGTACGAGAAACCTACGACACTCTATAAGTCTTTTTGTCCCAAAACTCTAGATATTTGTTTCCCATTCACTGGTTATTCACTTAAACGGTGAATATCAACGTGCGTCATTACAACTTTGCTGGGATTGATTTCCAGGCTCCATCGTTTAGATCATCAAACCAGTTTGTCAAGGTCAGGTCGGAGTTCATACCCGCCGTCATCGTCATCATCCTCACCGTAGCTGATCCTACAAATCTTTAGGTCACTAACAAATAGTAATGACGATGGCCTTAACACATTTGATATTTCCTAAACATAAAGAAAGAAGAGTGGTGGTTCAACGACATTGCCCCGAGGAACACCACTGATGACCGATTAATAGTCATACAGTGTTCTATTCGCAACCACTCTGCTTTCACTTTATTAAGTATTCCCTAATTCTGGTTTGAATTTTACTTTTGATACAGAGTTGATGAAGCTGACTCATCAAACCTGTGTGTGACACCTTGCCAAAACTCCAGCTAAAGTCAATGGAAACCTTGTCTATAATGAGTTTGAACTCCCTGGAATTAACTAAATCCTCCTTTGCCGGAAGTAGGCTTGTCAAATGATAGCATCCAAACCATAGGCTATGTTACTCCTACGTCTGTAGGTTTTGTTTCTCAAAGTTTTAGTATCTCATCACGCATTATCTTCTTAACGGCTTTGACTACGATATCACTATGACTAACTGTTCGAGACTTATTGAGTACTTTTTGAAACACTTATCAGTGTAAGAAAAGTTCATAGTTTCGTAATTGACACAAGCCCCCAAACAAAACCATTTCGTATTATTCATCCCTAAAGAAAGTTAGGGAATCTATTGTCTGTAAGCTGATTTACTGCTCGTTTTCCTATGCATTTTCTGTCAGTCATTTGGGTTGATGTTAACAAACAGAATTCTAATTTTCATTCATACTTAGTAGAAACGCATTTATATTTCGAGCTAACTGATTTTTGGCATTTTAAATTTATTTTGTACTTTTTCATGATCTCAGCTGATCAGTAGTAACTAGTGGTTAACTTAATATGAGAGATTTGTGACACTTATTAGTTTTCTTCCCAAAAAGATACCATGTCTTGGTCTTAACAGTTTCAGCTTTGTTGTAGTAAGATTTTACGAGGACTTTCAGTGCCAACTCCTAAAGGTAATACCTAATCATTCGTAATATTTATCAGTGTTTAGATCTTTTTACATAGTGCTCAATAAAAGTAAGTTGTTTTCAAGCAAACCACAGTTAACCTTCATATCCTGTACTTTTCCTCAGGTATTTGGATCGGAAAAGTATATTATATGCCTATAACTTTAAGAGACATCTTAGTTTTAACATTTTAGAGTGTTAACAATCCACGTTTAGGATAGACAAATGAAGTATGTGCAATAAGGTTTGAAAAAGAGCAAGCGAGACAAAACAAAAGGCAGACTAATCGTCCTTTGCGTGTATGACAAACAGTTTTTTGAATGATGACGAGTAAATGATCTTCAATAGTTCAGACGTGTATCTGAATGACAAGTGAGATGAGTAGGAAAGTTTATTGATCACTTTGCAATCTTGAATGGGTGTTTTCTTGTGGTAATCTCTATAACCGTCTTCCCCATCCGAAATGTGATGTCATGCAAATTAGCATGTGAAGGTTTTTTTAGAATAGTAATATGTCTCACGTCATTGTATAATGAGAAAATAAGAATCATAAAATGGCGTCTGCCTGATTGGTAACAAAAGAATTTGTGAAAATCTTAGGTTATGGTCCTACTTCTATTCATTGATTTAGTTTTTGCTCAGTGACCATGTTCCAGAGTGCATGCTCACAACTACTAACTATGATGGTCGCAGCATTAAATGGTTAAAGTATAAATTTCTATGATAAGTATTTCATCATAACAGTGTTTAATATAAAACACGAACATGTTCATGCTCTGAAAGCAATATGAGTTAGTCAGACAAAACCTAGTTTTCAGGTTTCTTACTTTTGTTCCCATTTATTTAAAACGAAGGAGCCAGCTATCACAAGAGACAGACTGATATTTGAAAATATTAGTTGGTTCTAATATGGTGATTTACAATAACGTAAACAAAATGATCAGTGGATGGAAACTCCTACGTTTGGTTCCCTTTACAAACCTAGAACATGCAGTGAAAAGTAATTTAGCAGTATACAATATATTTCTCTGAACTTTATTCATCTGCTGACAGGCTCACAAGAGTCAACTAATTGTATAATGAAAGGAATAATGATTAAAACATTTCACAGTTTAAAATCAAGAATTTATTTTGTGCATAGCTATTAGTGCAACTCTTAAGTTAACGTGCTAATTTCGCGTATAGCCTCCTGCCAAATAGATGTTTTACTTAACATTACACTTCAAGCTTTCCTGTTATCTTCTAAAAGATTATTGATTTAAAATTCTAACGTATTTTAATCCTTATTCCCATCATTATCTCATCACTAGTGACTTGTAAGCAGTTACAATGACATGGTCTACAATGAAAGGCCTCATTGAACTATACAGCTGAAGGTATGTACACTTCAGCACTCACAAAAGCACAAGAGACAGGTTACCATCAATGAAATTATTATGGCTTTATATGACTGAGTAAAATCATCTGAGTCCAAGCGAAATCAAAGTGAGGTACTCAGTGAATGACATCTAAAGTAGTTATTTTCCTTTTCTTGTTTATTGACTTATAAATAAGTGTTCGTTTTACAAAGATATCATTGATTCATTCTCCACGAAGTCAGACCGTTTGATGTTTGGAAACGTTTACTGAACACCTTTTTGACATCCTCTACCTAAATTTTACTAAGGATCATTTGTTTATTTTAATAACTCATTTGTCTTTGCACCTCAAAACATATAACGCTTGTCTGTTCTACATCATAAGAAGGAAATGAACATCCGTGCTAGAAAGGTAATGTGGCCAACTATCAAAATATGGTTATTTTTCGATGTAGGTTTAAGAGAACATATTTGACTTACGCTGCAAATATGATGAATTCTCTGTTACATGCCATGAATGGCTAAAGTATTTCCTGTAAATCGAGTTGAGAAGCGTCTCATTGTATTAAGCTAGTTTCTCAAAAATAAATGAAAACACATTCACTTTTGATTCCTTGAAATACTGTTCACGTTACGTATGTCTTCAAAATTTTGAACATAATGTCTACATAAACTTTCTTCATTTCAGATATATGTCCAGAGCCATTATCTGAGAGTTGTAAAGTATTACAGAGATACTTAGAAGAAAATATGGTCTATATGTTGAAAGAGGCTGATAAAAACAGTAATCAAGATCCATTCTGGTACCAGGTAAGATTAAGACGAAGTCCAAGTTGTCATAATATTTTAATTTCATATGACTGACAGATATCATCTTTGTGTGAATGCTTGTTATCTCTAGTCGTTGATAAAAATTAAAAAAGTTCAAAGTATCATTCAGTAGAATTACATTTTATTTTTTTCAAATCACTGTTTTTTAAGCCACCTATGTGTGTGTGTCTAATGAAAATTTTCTAATTTTGACAAATGATAGTTTGATCACTAATTAAAGTGATCCTGGAAAAAGCATGATTTATGCTATTCACCTGAAAATACTGTATGTGATAATAGCAGCTGGTGCAAATGTTTAGTTATTCAGAAATAGTATCCCTAAAAGCTTCAAGTAATATCTAAAATGTGAGTCGTGAAAATGGAAATAGTAAACTGGTCATATGTTATCTCTGGAGAAGTAATTGTATTAGTGTATACTCTTGGATGGTGAAGAAATGCGTTTGAAATATCAAAGATCGAATAAATTGGTCACCTGATGACGCACGATATGGGTATCCCGTTCCAAAGGCTCAGTACAAATTGGAGTTTATTGATCAAGTTTAAAATGTTACCACTTAGGAATATTAGTTATCATCCAAGTACGTACTTCACTCTTGGAGTTTTTTAACTATAAAATGGATAGGTATAAAGTTTCTTACTACAACACTGAGTGGAGCGGGTGGTAATCTCGTAGAGGATATGCATTCTCCTAAGATTGCAGACATGCCTTGCTGATAAAAGTCAGTAGGCGTGAAACCCACTTTTGGGTCATGCTTAGTCTTATAATCTAACAACAACAACAAATCTCACATTATTGTAAGGCAGATATGTAGCGCTTTATAGTTGTTTAGGTCAGATATGTCCGTCTTCAAAATAGGTATACCTAGAACTCCTCAGAACTACCTTATCATAACTTTATGAACGCAGGTGAACAGGTTAAATAGAAGGGTTCTTATTAAATTATTCGTAACTCAAAACTTCAAATTTGTGCTTCAGTAACAAACTGAGACAGTAATCCTAGAGTTGTTCGCTTAGTAGGGCTCAGTTGTAGTAACTGACGAATCACGTTCACGTTTGTGTTATTTTCATAGAGGGACGGCAAAGGTAGTTTCAATAATCATCCACTGAATAGTTAAATTACCTGAAATTCACTTACCATAAGTTTCGTATAGATGATAAGTAAGGGTAGGCAAATATGTTAAGTTTCTAAATTCAGTCAAGTCCAATAAGTATTTTCAAGCAATTTCTCACCAGATTTTACAATCATATACAGAGATTATACAACGGTTGTATGATGGCAATAACGGTTACATAATATTGAGTGATCAAGCAAAAGGCTTAAAAAAAATTAATTTTAGATGGAGTGTAAGTGTGAAAAGAGTGAAATTTAAACACAAATAGTGGCTAAATTATAGTAAATAAAGAGGTAGAAAATGCCAAAGAATTTAGGATAACTTATTAAACTCCTCCTAATTCTTCCAAAGCAATTCAAATTCATCCTTCAGATACGATGGAAACTGTTAGATTTCAAACAAACTGCATTAGTCTTTGCTCTCAAGAGGTGTTTGTGTGATAAAGCATTGGTCAAGACAACACAATGTGGAATTGTTCAGTATCGAATCCCTTTTACTTACAACCATCTCATCCTCACTATATTGATATTTTTAGTGATAACAGTAACAGTAGTTGAAAAATCATCCAGGCATTTGTGTGCATTTGCGATGTACACAATTAGGTACAAGAAATAGCTAAAATCTAGTATTGTAAAGCAGTTACATGATGAAATTGTTGAATTTCTCAGTAACATGTGAAATTAACAAGCTCTTCTCTTTGTATGATGTTTTTTGTGGTCTATCTCAGCCTGCCATGTTAAGGGAAGTTGGATTGGGTTAGAAAAGGGTTCAGCATAGCCATATCTAGGCATGGCACCCACCGTTGGAGTTTCTGACTGTTGGTCTAGATTGTGTGGGGAGGTGGATACTACGTGGCTAGGCTCCCCTAGAAGATAGGAATCCATGGTTGAAGACTACTGGTGATACGGCTGAAAATCGGTCCTAATGGCGTAGATGTATTCACTACTCGACGTCTTCCAAAGTCCCAATATTTGCACTAATCGTTATTTTCAGATTACTTATTCTGTCGCACAACTTTGTAGATTTTGAGGTCACTCATATTCTATCCATCTTTCCTTTGTATACCATTATGAAGTGTGGCAACTTGAGCGGACGCACTTGTGTGCGAGGTTCTACGTTGATTTTGTCTGTGTCTATCTCTTTCATATTTTACTCCAAGAGGCTTAACACACCTTTCATCCTCATATAATGAAAGAACAACTGCTTAAACTAATCTTTTCTTAAAGGATTGGAAACATGTTCATCAAGACAAGAAGAACAAAACCGGCAGAATAAAATGAATTTACTTTATTTTTCACTCATCTTTATTTGTATGTAGCATAAGATATGCAGAAAATCGGTGGTCATTAAAATGGCAACATTCTTGAGTAGCTATCCAACAAAAAACTACCAGAGTTAAAGCACTATAATACAAATAATTCGAAATAAAAACACTGCAGTACAACAACTCGATGGAGAAACGAAGAAAATCACTTGATGTCCATCATAAAGAAGAATGGGTACCCACGAAACTTTATCACAAGATGCCTATCCCTTTCAGCATCAACTACAAAGTCATCGACAGAAATCAATAAGTGCATCACCCCATGTACATAAAGAATATATCAGAAATCATGACAAGATTAGTGAGACCACTTGGAATTGGTGTGGCTCATAAACCAACAAATTCCCTCCAAACACTATTATGTAGACCATAGAATGCGACATCCAAAGAAGACAAACCGAATATCATTCACAAAATCAACTGCAATAACTCTAGTCAACACTACATTGGACAAAGTGACCGCCATCTTCGCCTTCGTCTACATGAGCACCAATTGGCTATTAAGTGTCGCGACATTTCATCACTCATTTCAGTGCACGTGGATAACATCGATGGTTGTGAATTCAATTTTGACAATGTAGAAGTCTTAGACGGAGGGAGGAAACACAAAGAGTATCAGTGAATTCGAAGAAGCTTGCCATCCAGGTCAGTCAGCAACCAGTAGATGTATAGACATAGATACACTGTATCAACCAACAAGAAAAATGGTAAACGATAGAAAGGTCAGAGATCAAGCAGAGCAACACCCAACAGGAAAATCTATACAGTCAATGACACAACAATCGACGGAAACAACCAATCACAGACCACATCGTCAGAGCAAGCCACTAAATCAGTCACGGTGAGATATTGACAGGTCACTTCATACTGAAGTTAGTGCTGATGATGTCGTGTAGAAAGACGATGAAAGCTCCAGGAATAAACAACCCAGCTCATAAAACACTATACAACCAAGAAATAAAAGCATTTTTTAAAATAAAAGTAGTTGCATTTAGCTGAGAGTAATATTATGCCAATTGATACATAGTGACAGTCAAAACTACCGTATTAACGTTACGGGATTGAAATTAGAACGGCTTTTATAATTGCATGACGAGTCTGTTACGGGTGTAGAATTTGAAAAACCGAAAGAATAGCTATACGCAAGTCGATCACCTCAACCAACCATCCGTTGCATTTTCAGAGACTATTTCTTCACGCTAACTAATCCAGGTTATGTTTATCTCATTCAATCATCAGCGTTGGTTTCAATACCTATTATTATTATTGTTATTATTCTATTAACTTTCTTATTATTGCATTCCTAATCCTCACATTGGTTTTGTTTGACTTCCCATATTTCTACTTTTTATTAAAATACCTTGGCAATTAGTTGAGGTAAATGAAATTGAAAGATTATCCTCTTTTCTATTTGTCAGACGTATGAGTGATTAAACGGCAGTCAGGTGACCAAAAATACAGAGAAAACTGATGTAATAGGATTAATGAAGGAGTTATTGGAGCATGGAATAAGTCAAAGTTGACTTTTGTGAATGCAAATATCACCTAAATTATGTTTGATAGTTAGTGAGTCATCAAAAACTCAGAAAAGCTTCAAACCTATTTCTTTGTAGCTGACTTCATATTCATACTTAGCGATTTCTGTTAAGTAAGCCTTGTCACTTATTTACTGAAGGAAAAATTAGTTTTCACCAGTCAATGCTAAATCTTTCAAAGAACTTTTTAACAAAAGTCATCTTTGATGAACACTTAACAAACGGGAACTTGTTAAAACTCTGAAACAACGTTCTGTGCTGATATACGCCATTTTCTATCACTAAATAGATTATTTTAGATATCCGTTGTTGAGTAGACACTTTTAAAGTAGTTCTACATATTTTTATAATTTATTATGGAAGCATGGATTCTTTATGCCATCGGAAAATGTTTTAAATTATTTCAGTTTGTAGTTTATAGTCCAAAAGCTCTATGAATTCAAATTCAATTTTCGTTCGCTGTGGAGCTTAGATTCCATAGGCTGAAAGGATTGTAGTGTTTGAATCCTACTGTGGAACTGATGTTTGAATGTATGCCGTTGATTATTTCAAAGAATTCAGAGGTGTGACTGATATTCTTAAAAGCTACAAAGGTGTCAGCTACACTTACTTTCTTAAAGCCAAAAGTTTACTTGATTCTGGTTGCCAAGTAATCTCTTACTGGTTATACCATCAATCTTTCAATATAGTCAATTTAGGCGAAATAACCTTTTGAACGGTAACCATTACATGGTAAGCCTACGCTTTGTGTCCGCAAAATGTGAAACAATCATTAAGGATAGCATAAGACAACTTCTTGTATAAGGATAATGTTTGAACTGGTTGTAATTGCTGATAGCTCTAGTTTAGTGATAAGTGGCATCTAATGAAATAAACTTGTTCGAATTGAATTCCTGGTAAGCGTGTGAGTGGTATATTTGATATTTACTAAATCATAACATCTATGGAGACATTTAAATGTCAGTTGTTTGATGAAGTCCTGGTTGACAACGTAACACTTTATGCTGTAGTACTGTATCACTGTGTGATATGGTACTGAAGATAATGAAAATAAATAGGTCAAAGGTATTTAGTTATGTTTTTTTGAAACGTTGTCGACTTGCAGTAGAATTATGAAATGAAATGCTTTTAAACTCAATTCATAATTGTATATAACAGAAATAAGTCGGTTAATTAGTTTGTGAATGTACTTTGAATGACCTCAGCCGACATTTATTGCGCATAACATGCTGTCTCCACCAACGTGAATCACTGACATCGTTACAATTGCATTTAAAAGAAGTTAATTGCCCCTACCAAAATATTCAAGCAGTTACTAACTATTAGTTTTAATTAGAGTACGGTTTCTGTCTGATGTCCCGAAGAAGCCAAAATCAAATTCTCAGAACTTTAGATTCATCATTGATAACAACCACTTAGGTATTCGTAATATTTATGGTCTGGGTATCTATAATCTCTACTCTTTCTCAAGTTTCTTTGTATTTTACTACCCTTAGTCGATATTTCCTTCTTTACTCACCTTCTCTTAGTTTGTTTTGACATCTTTTCAATCTTGTTCATTTCCTCGTGTTGCAAATCATGACTAAGTGAAAATGGGTTATATTTTGTTTCTGTCATTATTTTTACATTTTGATTATTGCTGATCTGGTACCATCAGATGTTGCGTTGTCAGAATATATTTCTCTTGACAACAATCACTTTTGTTTTCTTATAAAAGGAATTTCTTTGGTTCGCTTTATATGAATGTAGTGGTCAGTTGTCTGTAATCTTAGGTTCTTCATGAAAAGTTCATCAAAATCCTAAAATCCTGAACACAAAGTTTCTAGTGAAATAAAGGTACCTGGCTTTTATTCATAGTTATTTTAAGCCAGGTATGCGATTAAGTTAGGTTGCTCCATTTCACCACATTGACTTGAGACATGAAACAAATAATTTGTTGAAATAATGTTTTGCTTTTGAGTATCTGAGCAATATTATCTTATTGTAAAACAGCATGTTAATCACTTACAGCCTATTTAATAACTGGGGGGGGGGGGGAGGTCCATAAATGTGAAGTACATTGTGTATCATGAATTTTTCAGCGGTTATGCAGTATTGAGAATATGGTCAAATTCATACTTGGCTTAAACTCACTTTTTAACTGAGTTTGTTTTACTCAATTTTAATGACGAAACCATTCAAGCAATACTAAATTCCACTGCTGTTTAAGGTTTTTATTGGTCCATATGTAACTAAAATAGTTGCTGTAATGTAGTGACTACTATAGCCTGATCATATCTAGAAATGCTCTTCCAAGAAGTTTTTTGCAACAATTACTTACTAACGTCACACTTGAATAAGGAGACAAGACGGAGGGCTATTTATAACTTGTCACCATTGGAACTAGTGATAGTTATGTTGAGTTAACTGCTAATAGTGTATCATGACTTCTGTGATTACGTTCACAAAAAGAAAATCAGTTGACTAACCTGCAATGACTTTTATCCATTTACATATGCATTAGGATGAACATTAATGAAGGCTGAGAAGTAAACTTTCCCTTGATAGTATTATTTTATACTTGAACTGCTAGTAATAATAATATTTTACTTTTGATACATTCATTTTATTTTGCATAACGCATTTCAAAGCGTATCTGATGGGTTAAATTTTTATCTTAAATAAGCTGCATTGATTCCATATTAGATTTGTTTTTTTTTCATTTATAACACACAGTTATACAGTTTTATTGACTTGATGGTGTTTCCAACATAAATTATTGCTCATAATCATGCCTATGTAATCACACCACTTTCAATATTTGCTTTTTATATTCCTGTCACTAATATTGGAGTAAAACTTGGACACCGTGGTAGATTGTAATTCCATTTTAGTCTGTTTATTAGGAATGTTACACAATGAAACAGTATCATATACTGGATAACGTTTCAGACACAACTTATTATCCATATTCATATCAGGTAACTCCACAACTTTGAGACAGAGTTTATATAAATATATTCCTATCCTTATCATCACAGTCCTGTCACTTCTTATCTTTTGTTTTTATTGGTAGTGAAAGTTCCTGCCTCTGGTATAGGTTTTGCTCCATTGAAACTATATGTTTTGGGTTTAGATTCGATGGACAAAGATTCAGTAATCAATCTGTTTCCACACAATAATATTGGACTTAAGTACAGTGGTTTTATCTTACACTGTTGTGTGTTAATACATACATTGGAATATCAGAAGAGTTTTCTTCTAGATTATTGATCTTATTCGAATTTGTCAATATATGTTTAGCTAACTTCTTATGTTCCACTAACCTAACTGACTTCGGCTAGTTTGATCTCATAGTCATTACATGGAATTTGATAAATTGAATTGGATTTAACGGATCCTCAAGCCGATAAAGCTTATCTCTGAGTGAGTTTGAAGGTTTAAATACCACCCTAATTTCAGCCTTGATAAGAATCCTACGTAAAACTTCTGATGTACTTTCCTTATATGGTAACACAAAAGAGGCTTTGAACTTATTTCTACTGATGTTGTCGTTATTATTCACACTCTTGTTACTGTTATTATTTTGTTTTTGATGTGTTCGTACAAATTTCTTGATAAATTGTAGAGGATAATTGTTAACTATTAGAGCTTCTTTTATATTGTTTCACTTCCTTGTTTTACACTTATATCAAAGTGTATTGATTTCTGAGATGATGCTGCCTTCATGGTAAATTCAACAAGAAAGTATAATAGATTAGCTTCAAATAGTTTGAATATTTCAACCAGTATGCTGGTTCGTTGGTAACAGAATGTCTTTAATGTAGAGATGTTTCCTTTCAGATCAATGTCCTTAACGATGACATAACCAGCGTAATCGAGAACTTGTTGTCCAATAAGCAAATAAAAAGCTGTATAAAGTGAATCCACAGTCACTAATCATCAAAATGAATAAACTGGTAAAGGTGTTTTTCTTTCAAATTATTATCATAAAAAACTTCCCCCTTGTTTGCTTTATTTGCTTCACCGGTTTTCATAAGTTTATACAAGCAACTATAAGCTTTAAGAAGTCCATTGTTTACAATATGATTGATTCTGAATTTAATTTGTTGCATGAATAAGTCTAAAATTTGACTCAATATAAATTAGTACACTTTTTCTTTTATTTTCAGGTGGCCTTACAGTTATGGCAAATTAAAGGAATGTCTGATGCATATAATCAAAAATTCATATCCAGTTCAGATCAATTAAACCAGAATTATTTGTATGAACTAATTGATGAAATAATGGGGATTTAGTAAGTTTTCCTGGTTGGGAGTTAACGTTGTGTATCAACGCCTAAGACACCATTTTAAAACAGGCCTAAATGCAGTAAACAAACTAATGGTCATGTTACTGCTTGTAATTTCGCGTCGTTGATTGGATCGTACTTATCAGTCTCCATTAGTATATTAGCTCGCATGTGGGGATACTACGATCTACTGCCTGTAAATTTAATTTGATAGTTATGATGGATAATGACCAGTAGTGGAATCCAGGACGTGCATTTTATCCTATTCGGAACTCATCAGCTGAATCTACCTGCTTCCCAGTGATTCATATTGCCCCCACTAAGAAAATTATAAACCAAGAGGTAAAAACTATTTAAATCGCACAAAGAGTGGCTGTCATAACTCACTGGCCTAGTAGATAAATCTATGGCGCTTGAAAGAAACGGTTCTAGATTTGAGTCTAAGGGAGAACAATATCACTTGATGGGAGGCAGGTACATATGGCTAACGATTTCGATATAGGATGAACCCTGCCTCCTGAATTCTATTGCTAGCTGCTATCTATCATTACTGTAAAGCTAATGGTTCGGCTATGGTAATTAGTACTGTGAAAGTTGATTGGTTGAGATTAAGTGAAGCCTTAAGTGTACTTGCATTACGCGTATTGGGATTAATGCTTGAGAATTTCTGTCAGCAATTATCCTATTGAATTAATGTTTCACTCGTTACTTAAATAAACTAAAGTATCTTTTTATTTTCTTAAGTTTTGTTTACTTTCAGCATTGCTTCGAATCATTATAATTACAATTGATAGTCTCTTTTACCATGTTCTGCACAAGTGAGCTTGTCGTAATAAGAATAGATGTTAGCTGGGTTAAGATGATTGTCAGGAAGCGCTAGAGTTACATTTTGTGCTGAATGACACTCATCAGAAAGGCGTATCTGCAACCTCGACGGAATAAATATCCCACCTAAGACTCAGACTTGCGTCACTGAGTCCCACAGTCCAGAACGTTACCACTCAGCTATCTGGGCCACGTTGACCTCCTGCAGGACTGGATTGTGTACACTGATTAGTTACTGGAGGTTATTCAACTTCACTTCTTTTAGTCAGCCCTTAGGACTATACAACACGAAGTTGGTCCCCCTCAAGTCATCAATGTAAAATAAGAATATTAAAACAACTGAAATCAGTTAGTTACATTGTACTGAGATTTCAATACACTTAGTATGAAATCTACATTCTAGTATTAACTCAAGGATAACTTAAGCATACATTAATGTAATATTAGCTACCTTTTGATCACTGACCCTAACACGTAAATTCATTTCAAGTATCATGGTGAAATGGGGTGTCTGTTTAACGCATAAAAATATTAGATTATTTAATCTAGAATTTGATGTACTTTTTTAACAACAAGTTTTTTCATGGAAATATAGATTTTATCGGATTCCATCACATTTATCATGAGTATCAGTGACACCGTCGCCTTATATAGAGGTGTAATTTATAAATGAAAACAGCACCATAAACTTAGCATTACCTATTTTGCTTATGATCAGATATGAACGTCAAAACCAAGTAACTTTGATACTGTTCGTTATCTCAACAACAAATGACTACATGTTCTGTAAACATAAAAAGAAACGTACATGAGAAAGCAGTTTGTCTGTTATAAGTTTGGTCATTTAACACAAGCACGTTATTCTGAGTTAGGATGTATTTCAATTCCAAAAGATCTTCATAATCTCAGTAGTCCTTTTCTTTTCTTCTTTTATATTCTGTCTTCACTCAGATATCATGTCTGTGTTGGCAAAAGTCAAGGACAAACTGAGTTGAAAAACATCCAGCTCAAATTTACCCTTGATTTGTTCCACTTCAGTTTTTTCCATTATACTTATGACCAAACTTCAACCTGGAATGAAGTCTTTTCATTCACATATTTCCCTTTATATATCTCAATAGATAAAGAACAACAAGTGAAGCAGAATAAAATCGTGTCAATTTATCTTACTAGTTTCTCTTCAACTGCTTACAACCTAAGAACATTTAAATATCAGTACAACAGAATCAGAACTTATCTTTTCAAAGATGCATGCAGTTAATCAACAAACGACGACATGATTTAATAAGGAATACAAACATCCAGATAAAGTTAACAAGGCATGCTTATAATTTTCAGTTATATGTGTGATTCAAAACAGAGTTCAAGAAACGAATATAAATAATAATAATAACAAAGGATTACGTAAGAAGATTAATAAATCAGCTGTTCGATGATAAAAAAACGAATACCATAGGTTATAATGAAATGAACTGAATTCATTTGATAGAACCATTATGAAAAATATGTATGAGTGGGGAAAAGATTAAGTCAACTTATGTCAGTCCATTATGGATTCCAACCTAAAATCAATTCATAAGCCTCCACAAACCTCTAGATAGAATTAATCTAGAGCTCATTGGTGACTAACTTCGACAGGTGATTCCTGAAGTTCTGGTTAAAAGTTGTGACCAATAGAGTCGACGAAGTCGAACTTGAGGACAGTTACTCAAAGATGATATTGGATGTAGGTCGCACTACATCGTGAACTGGCAGAAGTGTGAAAACTTGACCAGTGGATTCCCACCCAGTAGTCCCCGGTGCACTGCTGACGAGTCCCACACTGGGACGAAATAGTTGTGCAATGCTCACATGGTTACAGTGTTCCGCCAACTGATGTCAGTTCATGATGAACACCAATTTAAGACAGTCGATATCACCAAATTAAACGAAGAGTAATATATTAGGTTACTAAGACAAAGAAAGACTGATCACTTCTTTTTTGGATCACACAGTCTCGGTTTCATTCATTTGATTGCTACGACCCCACAGAACTTCAGAAGGTTCCTATTACGTTGTTTTTGAATTACCTTGAGGGCTTCCAAGGCATCTACTTCATCTATTGTGTTGATAAGATGCTAAGTGACTGCATTACTGAAAGCACTTTACCTCCTGAGAGTTTAAGTTATACCCTCCTGTATGTCCTGCTAATTTAACTGGCACACCAGATACACGTGTACTTGTATGCACAGTTAGAAATAGAGATCTTTTAAAATGGCTTTTCCAATTAACCTACATTATCTTTCGGATTATATGAACTTGACTGATATGAAGTGACTCATTATTTACTAAACCTAGATTGCTATGAATTAATACTTTGTTGCTAAATTATAATGTTACTTCCACTTTTCTTATATCACAGTTTATTACAACTGAATGGTGATCTTGGTGATTTGGTGAATGCTCTATCTCTTCTTCCTCTTCAAGTTGGTGTAAATAAACTTAATCATTCATTCTTTATGGGTCCATCATGTTCGGTATTATTTAAAATGGTTGGCAACAATGTGTATATATCGCATGTTACTTGGGCACCATATAGTCTTATGTTACGTGTATTAAAACACTATAACTTCCCTTGGAAAATTGTTAACACTACAAGTGAGTAAATAAATAATTTTATTTTCCTGTTGATTTCAAGAAAAAGGGATTTTCATTGTTACTACTTGAAACAGGTCAGTGAATATTTGATTCATCTACACTAGTTAAATAAATTGTAAAATATCTAGTTTTCCAACGAAGTCTTACTAGAACTAAAAGTTATGAAATCAAATGTTCATTGAATAATTGAACACAGGTTAATCGATTCTGTTCAGTAAAATGGCGGGAACATAAAAGCATCAACAAATTATAATTGAGTACTGTTTTCAATATGTGAAATATACCCATAATGATTTGAAGGAAGAACAAGTATTTCAGTGCAAAGTCTCTTTACGGTGATTTCATTTTCAAAGGTGTACAATCGCAAATTTATACATTTTTCTAGTGTAAAGGATTTAATAGTTAAAAACGGTTTGTCAAGCATAGCAACACAAACAGTGTCAAAAAATGAGCTATCATTAAAATTCAAGAACTAAAAACTGATGAGTAGTGAGTACTCATCAAAATAAGCTTGAACAAGAAGTTTCGTAACATGATGACAAAAGTGGAAACTCTGTCGTGGTTAGACAGAGCGTAGCAACAAGAATGAGTAGCAAACTACTTAAGAAGTGGTGTCAAAATAGAAGAGTGAAACGAAAAAAAAAAAACTAAGACCGTGAAAGGAGTAGGGGTTGAACAATCTTCTTTTGCATACACAGATCAGGTTTCTCCATAAAGATGGCAAGAGCTTCAGCAATGCAGAGAATATGAAGACATACAGCTTTTGGAAGGTTTCTTCTTACTCTGTAGATGACCTTGAACAAGGAGGTTTTTGAAACAGAGTGATTAGTGTCCACTATGTGTTCAACTGTAACCACGCAAAACAGTGTTGTTGAACCCTTTTGGATAACTCGCACCGAATAACCTATATACCTGCCTCCACAAGAGCAGATAAATTGATATATGCACACAGAAGTGGTCAGATGCGTTGTTTACTCTTTGAGCTGTTAGAAATAGTTGGGCGACAACAGAATACCAGTCTCAGCGTTGATGCGAAGAATGTTCTATCTAGAGTGTTTGATACCCTCCTTTTTAGAGTATCAGTGGCAGAATCATCTTTGAAGTTCATATTCATATAGAGTATCTTTTTTGACATGGCGGTAAGGTTCTCTTTGCGAGGTTTAGGTTTGATGTGTTTGTCTATGAAGCGTGATGGTAGTCCATTTTCAAACAGGATGTTCTTTAGAACAGAAATTTCCTCTTCTAACACATCTGAACTGCGAATTCATCTAATGCCAATTGCAAGAGATATCATCAGATCTCGCTTATGACTCATAGGGACTCAGCTATTAAAGTTCGCCAGTTGACCATTCCACATTAGTTTTCTGAGAGTTGATCTACTTTACTCTCTATCAGGTGTTCCTGTCAGCTCTACATCAAGAAAGTACATTTCCGTTCGACTTCCGACCTTAAGGGTGAATCTAACTACTGAGTGGCAGTTATGGAATATTTGTAGAACGTGATTCAAATCATATTGATGATCATAGATAATAAAAGTATCGTCCATGTACATTCTGTACAATGGAAAAGCTTCAGTAATTGATTTCAAAGGTCCCTTCTCCAAACTGATCATAAACCAGTTTTCCAGTAGTGGACCTAGTGGGGATCCCATGGTGATTCCATCTTCCTGTCTATAAATCACTTCGTTAAATGTGAACTGAACATTGAATGTGCATCTAAGTAACAATTCCTTAAGGCGAGGAGTCGGTATCCTAATATTTATGTTGTTATCTTCTATGTATCTGCATAAGAACGAGATAGTTTCGGTAAGTGGAAAACTTTTTTAACCAAGTGACATCACTCACTAGTCTGGTTAACGTATGAATACCTACAACTTGGTGATCAAGATGAACACTGATGTACACAGATTGACTGGAAGAGAAAATTTAATTCAGATCAGACTAACTTCTCTGTATATATGGTCAAAATGAAACAAAATTAACCCAATTTTATTTGGATTTGTTACAACTCAAAGTTTTCACCAATTTTTGTGAACTGTAATGACTAGGAAGATTCTTGTCAAAAACAAAGAAATGATTTTAAAGATACAGAGCTAATACAGAAGTATGAAGGCTAAGGGATGAAAAGTTGAAGGAAGATATAGGCTAAGCACGTGTTGTTGGTCTATTACCAAATTAACTCCAAGTTTTGCCATCCTTATTTAGCACATTTTTCTCAATGTGATATTGATTTCAGTGACAAAGGTTAATATAGTTACATTTTTCTACAACTCGCTATAAATGTATTCTGTAGTAATTATTTTGGAGATATTAAAAGAGAAAACGTCGAATTTTGGTATATATATATAACACAGTGTATTACGACACTGATTTGGAGCGCCGCCGTGATATCCAACTGTCTATTAAGGATCGCGTATACTGCACAGCAGTCCGGTCTCTTCTGCTGTATGCCTGTGAAATATGGCCATCGAAGGTGGAAGATATGAGAGGGCTTCAGATGTTTGAAAACCGTTGCCTTCGTAGTATAGGATGTATTCCATGGTGTCACCACGTGAATAATACGGAAGTCACGCGTAGAGTTTTAGAAAGAAGAGGTAAGTTGGTTGACGAAGTTGTGAACCTTCATCGATTGAGATGGTTGGGACTGGTACTACGTTTGCCTAGTCACCGATTTCCTCGTCACACAATGTTGGCCGAAGTAGGTGCAGGCTGGAAAAAGGGTCGGGATGACCATCCTAAAACATGGCATCCATGTATGAAGTGTTTGACTGTTGGTTTGAGCCATGTGGGGGTGTTGTAGACTAGGTTGTTGGAGTCCGTGGGGGAAGAGAAACCAGTGGTTGGAGACTCTAGGTGATGTGGCTGAGAACCGATGTCAGTGGCACAGATGTATACACACATTATCGTCATCTTAACGACGCTATGCCGAATCTCACCATTTTTTCATTCTTCGTTTCTCTCTTTCACTACTTTATATTTCTTCTGACTGCATTCTCTCATCTTCATCTTACTCCTCACTGCCTTTTTACTTGACGTAGTGATATGAGGTGTGGCAACTCGGACCATTACGCAGTTGTGTCTGGTTTTAGTTTGATCTGGATGGATGATGGATGACACTGAGTTGGAAAAACTTCTTATCAAAGTTATTGGACAGTCTAGAAAGTGCCAAAAAACCAAATACGCATCAGCTGCAGTTACCTGCATCCTTGTTGGTGATTTTTTCCCACTGAGATTCAAATCCAGTACTCACTACTCCGGTGTTTGAAAGTATGGGTACATGATGCAAGTTTCTGTGGAAACACAGTCACTCACTAGGATGCAGATACATCCAGATGATGAGTCCCAAGCAGTGCAAATATGCGTCTTGGACTCCACTGTTAGCTATCAAGCGAATTACACCATAACGAGTTTTCGAGCAGTACTGAGGCTTCCGCATAGGCGCCCATCTGCCAACAGAGGTCGAGCAACTCAACCAAATATAGCAGTAGGCGATTTTAAGTATCAAACAACTGATTGAAAACACGCTCATCATTTATATTCGTGCGGTAACCAGTGAAGAATACTCATTGCCTGAGGTCTAACGATACTACCTGGCTGCACAAACCACGGTAGCTGGGACAGGTTTAAAACCCACAACACACTCTTAGGAAGTCGAATGTCTAAACTAATGATTTTAGGTATATAGCCCTGTTTATAAGTTTTCTCTAAAATCTTAGCTAATTATTGTCTCACTTATTGTTCACTCATAACTATGTGTTAATTAAAAGTACATCACTCAGTTTTTCTCCGATAAAATGCCTTATTTCAAATTTTACACTGCTGTGCATTGTAAGAGTTGAACTGTTGAATACTAAGAAACTTCGTAGCCACCTGTTTCGTTCTTTCTTATTCAGATGTTACACAGACAAACTGGTGACTAAAGGGTTCCTTTAATTCCGAATAGGGGAAGACATGAATGACATCCGAAGTTAGTGAAGTAAGCAAATTTGATACTGACCGACAGGTGTTTTATTGTAATTCTGCCTAGCTGAGAAACATTAAGACTTGGTGAAGACTCAGAAGACTATATTGTAGTTATGTCATTAGTTTATCACGTACGCTAGTGACTTGCTTCTATATGAACACCCCAAAGTTTTAGTCAAAAGCCAACACTTGTGAGGTTAACCAAGTCAAGTGTTAGGAGGAACACTCACTAGCGGTATTTTTCAATGGTAGGATCATATCATGAATTGACATTAGGAAGTTAAAAACATGGGACATAGGTTTCTTACTAAGTAGCGGAGTATTTAGATATTGGATTTGAGAATTGAGCGTCTTAAAAACGACTCTTCAGACGGTCATGGGTGCGTGAATGTCAATCTTTAATGAAATCCTCCTTGAAAGTTTAGGTTTCCTCTTTTACCATTTGTTTATTTGAATTTGTCTGACAATCTATTCAATCAATACTTTGAGGTAACGAATGAACTTGTATAAAAAAAGATCTACCTAAATCTCTAGATTTTAATCGTATTTGTATTCTCTTAGTCTAAGGTTTCATTCATAGTTACCTTTTTCAACCTTTTATTAAGTTTCAAGAAGTATGCTGAAGATATGAAAAAGCTGTTTTAAAATATTACATAAATGATCATATTTTTGCGATAAATTTGACTTAGAATTTGTTTTTCAATATACAAGCAGGGATATGATTTACATTCATAGTGTAATCAAATTATTTTTATATGAATATTCTCTACTTAGAGCACATAGTAAATCATTTAGTTATACTACTTCTGTCCATCAATCAAGTAGTAGTATAGTAAATTCATTTTGAAGATATCGTTAGATTTTCGCTTTCACTAATAGTACATTCTTAGAAATCTGAAGTTATAGTGTAAATCAATACAATATAATTCAAAGCATAATTTGAATTCAAAAACAAAAAAAGGTTACAGCTGAGCATTTATAAATATATAGGTAAAATAATAGAATATTTTAAACAATTTTTCGTTCAGAGATCAAACTAAGTTGATAAGTGTATATACGGAATGAAATTATATCGCGTAACACAAGACCCTCCAACAAATACTGTTGGAGAATGGCTCCCCTCACCAGATTTATTGGTCTTTATCAATGTATATTTACAAGTTCACTTATTCCTGAAAGGCCGTAATATACACTCGCTTGAAAAACGAACTCACGAACATAACCCAACCTAATTGTTGAAGGGTGAATAAAAATTGATTGTTTAATATCTCATAAACTTTAGAAATCAGGTTCCTCTAGAAAACTTGTTCAAAGTTCTCTATAAAATTTGACCAAACTCTTCAAAAGAGGTGAAAATTAGTCACTCATGTGCAACCGGAGCTTAGTCAATTCACAACTTCAAACCTTAACTGTATATTCAAAAGCAACATGTACAAACACCCTTTTTACTCTGGCTTTAATCAGATACCGCATCCTACTGTTCACTGTATTTTATAAAGACTATTGAGATTATGTCCTGTATTACACATTATCACCTCATTCTGTACATACACCGGTTGCTTTAGTTTGACTTTTGAACAGAAAGGTGTATGGAACATTCTTTCGTTTTACTTGTATATTTACGAAATGTAGAGCTGTGAAAATGAATTGTCGAAGAGATTATTCATTTCAAGTTGGCATTCATCACAGACTGACATCAGCATTGATAACTGTTTTGCTTTGGTATGGGACTTCTCAGCGGTGCACCCGCATGACCGCACCGGGGATTCAGCCCAGGACCTTCGGGTTCCGTGGCCAGCACGTGATCATTGAGCCAGTTTGTCGGAATCCAACTGTTCATATTTCCAACTTCCTTTAGTTCACTATATATCGCGACCATAGCCCGATTCATCGTTAGATATTCCATTGATTAATTAATCTAGTGATCATTGGTGACTAGCTTCGAGAAGTGATTAACGAAGTTCCAACGAGAAGTCGTGAATGGGGAGGGCAATCAAGTCGGATATGAGAACTGTTACTCAACGACTGCATTTGATGAACGTCACGTTATATGAAGAACTGAAGAATTGGGAAATATGGACAACTGGATTCCGACACACTGGCTCAATGGTAACGTGCTTACCACGGAACCTGAAGGTTTAGGGTGCGCACTGCTGAGGAGTCTCATACTAAGACGAAACGGTTGTCCAGTGTTTCCAGATTATCAACATTCTTCCAATTCATGTCTATCCATGATGAATACAAACTTGAAATGAATCAAAAATCTCCACAAACCCCAAAATTGAAAAGATGATTATTGTCACCGTATTCCCTTTTTCTTTTTCAATGACTGACTGAAGATTTTTCGCTGTTTAGTTTGAACTTCAATGGAAAAGAAGAAATTTTTACCAATGACAAAGTGATAGAAACATTTCAATCCTTATGTCAATACGTATTTATTTATTTATTTTTATGATAATTCGTTATTTAGAATTTATACTGTAATTAATATGATTGATTAATTGCTTTCGCATCAAGATGGGTTGGTGGGAATAATAGTACTTGGCTCATACTCAATATGTGTGGACAAAAGAACCTGATCCTTTACACCTAAATCCTATAAATTAGTTTGTAACGCTTTATATATTCTCTGTCCGATTCAATAGTTGGTTACTGTTTCACTAAATAATAACTGTTTAAGATTGCTCATTGAATACACAAACTAAATGAATGTGAATATGTTATATATATTTTACCATTCTACTTCAGATTCCCCTATGATTCCTGGTTACGCTATCACATTTTCATCATATCCAACTTTTACCAGTTCCATTGATGATTTTTACTTGACAAGTGCAAATCTTGTAAGTTGACAATGTTAGTAAAGGAAAACTAATTCTTATATTTATACCTATGAATTGAATCATTTTGATGAGTGGTTTATAAATGTTTGCTTAGTGATATTGATATTATCATTCTCAGTGTAAATGTTTACTAGTATCACCAGTGGAACATGTGTCATTCACATTTCAATTCTCAGAGATCCATTTATATATTGTTATTTCCGGTGTACTTCATAACTGTTACAATAAACTCATTTATTCAGTTTTTCAAGTAATCGTTGTGAACTTACCTGTTCAGACTGAGTTTTTTAGATGATCAAAATCTTCTTGTTATATTTGATAGCCTTAGTTCAGATTCTTATTTTGAATTCGGACAATGAAATGCCTGTTACCAAATCTCCAGCACGGTGACCAAAAGTCTTCTAAACTATCAGTGGTTGTCATCATTCTTAGATTCTACTTAAAGTGCTCAACAAGTTATTCATATGTTTTTTCATTATTTCTAGTTTGTATGTAAAATTCTTTCTAGCTAGATGATGAATAAAGTAAAATAAAGATGTGTCTACGAATAAGTTGGTTCCACATTGCTAGAGTTTCACTTCCCTGAAACTGAATCCAAAGAAATAGCTGTCACTAACGTCATAAGTATATTATCTCCTCCAGGAGTTTCACCCTTTTCTGATTTCATGAAATTGTCTGAATGAATGTGACATGAACGGGATTTCATCGGAAATCGAGTCATAAAATTTTAGTGGAAACAGAAAGTTTTTGTTCAAAGTAATTCAGTTTTTGACTTAGCTAGTAAAACTAGCTAATAAAATGAAACTAACAAGAAGTTCGATAAGTAGCATAAATTTATTTGTACTCAGTTCAAGTAAATCGACTCTTTCCATACTCCAGAATTTGAAATTACACATTGTACTAGTATAACCACGGAAAAATATTTAGGAAGCATTTTCAGTATTACTATGAGATATAAGAATTAAAAATCAAACGTACTATTTAGCTGATTTTACTTTAGAAGAAAAACAAAAGGAATTCAATCATCTGTTGACAAGGATCATTCTTATCACTTGATTTTCTGCCATCAATTCTGTTGATTTAACAGTTAAAAGTGTTCTCAGTGAAAATATGAGGAGATAACTGATTCGATTGGTCAGTTATATATTTGAGTGCTGTTAAATAAATAAATTATCCCAGACGAAGAGATCAACATTTAATTTAAAAGTAATACTAAAAATATACATGTCAGTAAAATAACAATAATAATGATTGTTATGTAATATAACAACCTTCAACTTCTTTTACTTCCCTATTCAAAGATCATTAGACTTTCTTTGAGGATGAAGACCAACAAGGTGTTTTCACACAGCTGAACCAAAATACAATCTAAGTGTAAAGTAATGTCACTGGTAGTTATGACTGAGGTTTGTTATAATTTGTTGGTGATAGCTTGCAGTGGAATCCAAGACGTGGATTTCATCCTGTTTGGAGCTCATCAGCCGGATGCACTCGCATCCTGGGGAGTGATAGCGTTTTCACTAGATCTTGAATCTTATATGCGTCTCTTTGAAGGCCAGAGCTTTATCCACTAGGCTACTGAGGTAGAAGAGACACTTTCTTTCGAATGGGTATCACTTGTAATCTATTGAAACTTACAATTTCTCGTCACTGTACTGGATTGAATTCGTCGAACTCTGTTGGTCTCTGAAGCGGTCTTTACTTGGTTTGAGTCTCAGTAGGAATGCCATCATTCACTGGAATGCAGATATGTTCAGCTGAGGAGTCTCAAGAAGGACAAAATATGCACCCTGGATCACACTAGTAGCTATCATCAAGACGTTTGGATGTAATGAATCTACGGGTAATACTGAGGTATCCACATAGTAGCCTATATAATGACAGAGGTCGATAGATCCGACTCACTATGGCAATGAGAAATTAAAAATACCAAATTAATGAAAAATTCTATGTAAAAAGGTGGACAGGTAAAACACACTCACAAGCTTCTTGGCTTGAATTATGTAATGTTAACCTTATATTTCATGAAATTGTATTCTGATGGTTACTAGCATTGAGGTACACGGTGCTCAATTAGTTGTATACTGGACATTTCCAATAAATACTTCTGCATTCTGAGGATTGTATGTGTTCTCAGGACTTCGGAAATATGTATTCACCTTTTTGCATACCGGAAAGTTATTCAGTTGGTCAATGAGATGCTACATATATTCGTTTTCTACTTAATCTTGGATAATATCGAATGGATCTTTTCAACTTCCCTATTAAACAACATAAACAGATCCTGTTTTGAGATATATGGCATTACCTAGACCTTATCACAAGAAGTGTGTTTGTCGATGGGATTACAATGTGAAAACAGTTACGTTTCACTTTTGAACAACCAATACTTCCGTTTATGTTACTCTTCAGGCCTTGGGAACAAAGGTTAGGGGGACTGACACATAGGATTGCGCATTCTAGCCTACTTTATAGTTTTCGTTTTCTGTTCTTAGTTTATTTGTAGTTCACAAGCACTGACACGTTCATTAATACGTGAAAATGATGCACATTTGTTTCTGTGGCTACGGATACTAATTAGTTTTTTCTTGTCGGTATATCAGTAAGGTAGCAACATCTCTGTGTGGGAAAACAAAGCATGCATCTCCGGTAATATTTAAATCTCTTATAGATATTGGCAGTCTTATTTGACTATTTTTTGTTCGTCTTTATTATTTGTTTTCGCTGCTATTGTCACCAGTTTCCTCAACTTCTTTTTACCTTAAAACAAGTGATAAGGCTTAGCGGTTCCAAGTACCAATTTTAGGTTTATGAGAAAATGCCATCGACTGAAGCTAACTTTACAATCTTTTGGATTCAAACTTCAATCATCTCACTGACCACGACTCGTGAATCCCAGTTAGTGCATATAAATTGCTCACCTGACTTTATTTACACAATCGGACGGCTTTATGCTTTCTCTTTGCATGTCTAGGGATTCGATAGTTACTTCTAGCGAGTTCCCAGGCGATAAAACAAAACTAAGTTTAAGTGATGTAAGCCCAAGTGTTGCCTGAATTTCAGGTGATAGTTACGTGTTCATGTTCAGCTGTGGGACTCTGTAAGAACCCTAGAAGAAAATATCACCTAGCGAAGACTGTTTCCTGTCTCCATATATGAATCCACGGATGGAGTGAAATAAAATTTTTCTCAAAGCCATATTGATCTTCATTACAAAGAACCGATTAGCAGAACAGTTAAATCAACAGCAAAATAACATATTTGGTTACAAAGGACCTTCTAAATACCAAGAAAAACGGATACCTATGGTATTCCATGTATTGTTAGATCTGGATATGCTCAGTGAACGTTAAGGTCATGGCACTCGATGAACAGAACATACTAAACACACCAACCACAACTATTTGTTACAAAAGTACGTACATAAACTCAACTGTGTTGCTTTTACCGTATTCATTCACACTCGTTTACATATAAACTCCCTTCATTATCTTTGCATACGTGAAGTAGTCACGTTTTGCAACTTCGTGGAAGCGACTTTTCAGAAACGAATCTAGACAGTTTACAGGACATTTGAACAAAAGGAGAAGTGAACTGTGTGCAGTAGACCCAAAGAAGTGTCAAGTAAACCAAGATGTTAAGCCATGTATAGAAAACAAAAATAAGTTCCATGATACACAAGTATGAAAAGTTATGCGTTATAATACAAAATAGTAATATGTGTTATGGATAATGATAGGTTACTTGAACATTATCTCTTCGGTACTGTCCACCACAATTTAGTATACTCTAATGTTAGTTCAGAAGGCAATACTTGTTAGCTCTCTAGAATCGACATTGGTTGGCTTGATTGTAGTGATTTTTGGAAATAGGACGAGATGGTCCTATAAAATCCAGTGACAATCAATGAGTATTCACGTCAGACTGTAGTCAATGGGGGCAGAAGTTGGAGTGCATAGAAGCATACTATATTCCCACTTTTAAAAGCAGAAGTGAAGTAAGATAATACCGCTTCAACCAAAATTTCAACTTTTTATGTTGCACAGATAAACAACATTGATTTTCGCAAGTATTAGGAAGAATCTGCAAACTGCGTAAAAGTGATGAAAAGCAAAAATTATTTTTAATTTAATTGGTTGATACATAATTTCGTACAGTCTCCACATGTGTTACACTGCTCACACATAGGTAAAACAATAGAATTACTTATTTTCGTTCCAGTAAAACTAAAGTTGTAGTGTAAGTGTAAATTCGTTGTTAAGGTACCTCATAATGTACCTATAACTTTATTTTCATTATAGACTGTTACAGAAACTACCAACGCTGTATATAACGAAAAGCTATGGTCCGTTGTTCGTAATGGTAGTAGAAATTCTGTATTCACTTTTATACGTGCTATGGTTTCAAATCGTTTGGCTACAACTGCAAATGAATGGATTTCTTACTTTAAATACAAGAATAGTGGAACGTAAGTTATTCATAACTCTTCTGTTATGTTAGTTGTCTAAAAAATTGCTTGTTAATGTGGATATGAAATAACTTGAGAGTAGAATGTAAGCTGTTATACCATAACTAGCTGTCAGAAAAAAAAGAAATTGGTGAGAATTTGTTTAGAATGGATATAAGTTGAGATAGCTGAAGTTACGTTATTTAAGTAGGTGAGTTTTACACAGTATTCCTTTAATTTCATATATTCCTGAAGGTGTTATACATAGCTTTGGCCTTGTTCCTTCATGACACAGTGTAGTTACAACTTATTCCTAAGATATGAAGTGAGAAACTCTTTCACATGTGTTAAATATTAATTACCTTTTCAAAATTCTTAAGATATTGATAATTAACATGAGCCTATATAATTACGTGACATGTTCAGATGGAGTTCTGTCCACAAACCTTGCAAATGTTTCCAACTTTCTTACACCCTCAGTTTGCAAAGCTTATTTGCCACTATCTAAGATACAGTTGAGAGAAATCAAGATGCATGACATATATCTATGATGAATACTACAAACCTATCACTTGAATTGTTCTAGTGTTCAATGGTGACTAGTTTCGAGAAGTGATTAACGAAGTTCCAACGAGAAGTCGTGAATGGGGAGGGCAATCAAGTCGGATATGAGAACTGTTACTCAACGACTGCATTTGATGAACGTCACGTTATATGAAGAACTGAGAGAATTGGGAAATATGGACAACTGGATTCCGACACACTGGCTCAATGGTAACGTGCTTGCCACGGAACCTGAAGGTTTAGGGTGCGCACTGCTGAGGAGTCTCATACTAAGACGAAACGGTTGTCCAGTGTTTCCAGATTATCAACATTCTTCCAATTCATGTCTATCCATGATGAATACAAACTTGAAATATCTTTGTGCCCAATCGAAATTTTGACGCACACAACATCTTCAAGAAGTCTATTTGTGCAGAGTACAAATTGAAGTAATTTTAACTAGTAGACAGCATATGACATGCCGCGAAATCAAGGAGTAAAAGTGATCCTATCAACATAAATACATGTAAATACTGTAAAGTGACTTTTGATGCAAATACCTATTGTGCTCAATGTGACATTGCAAAAATGCATACCGATCTACGTTTCTTATCTTACCTTCTCTACGTCTTTGCAGTAAGTGAGTAGAATAGCCTGTGAAGCCTGCTTCATATACTCAGAATATCTTTTGCAAGTATGAACACTCGAAAATTGATGTGAGTTACCACTGAACGTGTAGGCATCACTGCAACCAGTGGTATAGCTTCTTTATCTCTATTCAATATTATACAACTGATTTCTTCTAGAGTATTTACTGAATGATCGTCTGTTATTAGAAAGACGAGGTAAGCGGTAATCTTGAGCGTAAATGCAAGACATATGGAGAGTGAGACGTATGTTTGACAAGAACACTGTCAGACTTCTTGTATGTCAGTTAGGTTATTATGCATCATATCTGTGTAACCGGTCGTATCAATAAGGACTGCACTTAACCTTCTGTCTGGCATATTTACCACTGACCCTTTGTTCATTTTAATCTCACACAAGGCTAATTTATGTGATTTCATCAGAATGCTTTTTGTGTTGTACTAACTGCTCATATATTTATGACAATAGTCAACAGAAGTAGTCATAGGTTTTTCAACTTCTGCACTGGATAATAATATCACTACTTCTGTCTGTGAATACAAAATTTCAAATTGAACTTCCATCTTCACCTTGTTAGCCGTATTATAACTATAGAAAGAACTCAGGATCAAGAGACAGTACTTTTGCTGAATAACACGGGGATTAGTACTAGATTTCTAGCAGGATGTTTTTCACACTTAAGTTGAAGTCGATATTTAGAAGTGAAAAGGGTAGTGTAAAACACTTTGTTTCGCAAAAATAAAGTGAGTCTATTGTTCTACATGCTATTTAAACATAATTGGCTCTGGAGTAACATGGATTGATCATACATCTATTTTTTTTAACTGAATCCTGAACATCTTGTCCTCCGAAGTATTTTATACAAAGAATGATAAACAAAGCTGAAAAACAGGTAGAATAGTGAAGAGCAAAGTCAAGATATGTTCTGAGACATCTGAATTACCTACTCATAAACGTTCAAATTATGAATAGAGTTAAAATTATTTTTTTTAAATTGTCTAACCCTTTTACTCTATGCGATAAGCACCCTATCATTTACACACTGAAAAGCTTCAATGAAAGAATAATTTTTTTCAGTATGTTGAACTCTGAGAAACTTGAGACTACATTTTTCACAAGTGTATGAATTGTCAATTACTGTACACTCCGAAATGGGGTAGTCAACAGTTTAGTAACTTGTTGAAATAGAAATTGTTACGAAGAACACTGCTTACTTTCATGATAACTCTTACAAATGTTTTTATGCAGCTAGATTTCACTTAACGAAGCTGAAAAATCAGATAGACAAGTTGAGAGAATAGATCAGTTTTATCGCAGAATAATTCTGAGGTTAAAAACGATTTTACTGACGGAAGTAGGAACGTGTCAACCACTGAACTCCGACCCAGGGGTTGAAAGGTGAAAGCGTTCGCCTTAAAGCCTGGAAGTCTTCAGTTTGATCCCTAGTCTAGTCGTGGGTGCCTCATGCTGCGGAGCCCCACACCAGGTAGAAACAGCAGCTTCGTGGTCCGAAGTTCTCAATAGCTTTACAGCTGATGACATTCTGTGATGAATACTAACTCAAAGAAAAAATTATTCTTGAACACTCTCGATATCGATTTCGGCACCTGTAAAAGACAAAACTATCGAATACCAAATACTAGATAACCATTTTTATACGTCTACGTATTATTACTATTATTATTATTCACACTATTGTTTGTTCTCTGAGTTCCTAGTGGAATATAGGGCTCAAGCAACACGTCACCATCTCACTCTCTTCTCTGCAGTCTGCTCAACATGACTCCAACACTCCCCAAATGCCTTCATTTCTTCCTCACACGATCTCCTCCATGTCATCATCGTCTCGGACGCCCAATTGGTCGTTTCCCATTTCGGTTCATCTCGAGGGCCTGGCCTGGCTTGGCCTGGCCATATCCTTAATGTCCACAAACGGTATTCTCAGTTTATGTCCAGCCAAACCCAATCCACCTCCACTTTCTTCTGCATATTTGTTGGGCAATCGGTTGTTGGTCGGTTCGTTGCCAGTCAGAGTTCCTACTTGCTTATTCTTATTATTCTGACCATCTGATCTTGAGTAGCGAGTGAGAGTAGGAGGCAGCTGTTCATGTGATGTGTGTCTGCAGTTTGTTGTGAATGCATTTTGTAACGCGCCAAGTTTCTGAATCATCACAGAGAATCACTGACTTGACGTTAATGTTAAAAGAATCCGGATGTTGTTCACGCTTTATGCTGAGTGCAGTGCAGTGCAGTGTAGCAGATCTCCACATTGATTTTAAGTTAATGAAGGTCTGTCTTGCTGTCTTTCCGATCCTGTCTTCGACGTCCTCATCTGTGCTTGTGCCGCCTCAAGTTGAAACGATGCTGCGTTGCCTTGGTAGGTGAGAGGGACTACTTCCTTTAGGTTTCTCTCGTTGATGATGATTGGTGCTTGTTGCTGTTGTTGTTGTTGGTTGGGTACCTCCATCACCTCTGTCTTCTCTACGTTCACTTGAAGGAGGTCTCCTGCTCACTGCCCTGCCTCTTCTGTCAACTTCTTGGTTTTCGCCTGTGGATCTTCAAGTTTGTGTGACTTTAGACAAATCGTCATCGACGAAATCCAAATCTTCTTCTAGAGTCTTATCATCGGTCATCAGACAGCTTATACTTCTCTTCTCGCTCCTCACAGTTGTCTGTTGCATGATACAGTCCAGTCCACCACAACACAAACAGGAAGATGATCGGTGATAGTGGGCAGCAACCTTGTCTTACTCGCTTCTTCACTTCAAAGGTGTCACTGAGCTTTCGATTGTGAATCCCTTCACATGTAGTATGATGCAGCATACAGCTGCTGTTGACTGGGATTGATAAACGTCTGTGTCACTAGAAGCGTATTGTTGAAGTAGTTGTCAAATTACCTCTCGATCGATGCTGTCGAAAGCCTTTTCAAAATCGATGAATTTGGGGTGATTGACTTCCATTCTGAGCTCGGTACTATGATGCTTGGCGTGTCGTTGCTATTTGATCCGTACGTGAGTTGTTTTTCCTGAAGCCATTCTTCATCTAAAAATATTCAAACCTGTTGAATTAACACTTGCTCGCCTTGGAATCTGACATCATCATGCAAAAAATGCAATCAACACCATTGCCTATAATTAAAACTGAAAATGTAAATCTAACATTTCAATAAAACAGTGTCACTCACTGAAAGGATTGAATTTGAAAACATCATACTTGCGATCAGTAATCTCACTAAAAGGATTCATTCAATCAAAAAGTAAGTGATCATAAACGAACCTACTAAAACAATAAAAGATATTATATCTGTTCTAATCAATCATTCTGGTAAATACCAGTACTGGACCTGAAATACTGTAGAACTGATCAAGATGCTATATTTCACATCAACACGCCACCGTGGAAAACACGAAGAAGAAAGAGAAAGAAATAGGAAACAACGAAATCGAAGTCCATGGAAAGTCTTCAAAAGAGAGAAAGAGATGATAAACCTGCTTAGGATCTAACTAGAAGTGATACTGCTCGCTTATTTGTCTCGTTCTAAGTTACATGATAGGGAATTTATGTATTGATTTCAGGTTGGTATTCATCAAAGACAGACATAATTCTGAGAACCACTGGAAACCTGAGAGCAGTTGACAGGTGCTTCGTCTTAGTAGAGGACCTCTTACCAGTGTTCATCCACGACCCGGACAGAGATCAAACCCAAGGCTTTCAGGTTCCATGGTCAGCGCGCTACCGTTGAGTTACTGTGTTGGCATCGAATAGTCCATATTTTCAACTTTTATCAGTTGAAAGCATAGCATGACCTTCATTAAATGCAGTCATTGAGTAACTGTCCTCATATTCGACTTCATTGTCTCAGCGGTCACCACTCAATAATGACTTTCTTCAATATGACATTCCTTAAGTTCTAATTAGAAGTTATGATCAGTGGGTCCAACCAACTGGGATGTGAGGAAGTTTACTCATCGATAGGATTAAATGGAGGTCACTCTCTATGGTTAACTAACAGAAGTAGGAAATATATATTACTGGATGCCAATCCAGTAGTAACTTAATGGCCGCGAAACCTGAAGGTCTGGGGTTTGGTCTCTGGTGGGGTCATGAGTGCTCACTGCTGATGAATCCCATACAGTGTTTCCAGTGGTTTGCCAACTGATTTTAGTCCACGATGAATACCAACCTGAATTTTCTTTCATTCTTACTACTAATATCCACGACAACTTTAAATTGCTGAACTTTAGACCTTTCATTTTATATTTTTAGTCAACTTTGTCTAAACACAATATTACGTTGCCTTTATCCGGCGCGGGTAGTAATTGAGTTTTGATTGATTTTTAAGTGTGTCAGTGTTTTTTGTTCTTTCTGCTCAGTATTTTAAGTTGTTATTCATCGGAGACTGATATCAGTTGGAGGAACAAAGGAAACCTGGGAGCACTGGACAGCTTTTTCGTCCTAGTATGGGACTCCTCAGCAGTGCGCACCCACGACCCCACCAGCAGGGATCGAACCCGCGACCTTCATGTTCCGCGACCAGCGCGTTACCATTGAGTTACTGGGTCAGAATCCAATGCTCCATATTTCCAACTTCTGTTAGTTCAGTATTTTCTTTATTCCTACCCTTAAGCTTTGATATCTGTAGTGGAAGTTTACTACAGTCAATTTCAGACTTCCTATTGCTGATCCAGAGACCGACACCAGGTCTAATGTTTGTAATATAAAAATTTTTCAGATCGAGCCTATAACTCTAACTGGCTTGCATAGTGTCTTATGTCACTGAATGCATTGCAAAGTAATAAAACTTCCATTTTCTTCATTCAGTGAAACACCAGAACAATTGTATGAATATCTTTGCAGTTAGCATGGAAATTTACACCGAGGTGATTGTTTGACTAGAAATTTTATCAACTGGATTAAGTGATTGTTCGATTGCTTTTTTATAGCTTCCAGAAGCATTTTCATCGAAAGCATATTTTTCCTATGGCATATTTCTTTTCAATTCAACATTTTCTGACTTCATTGAGAGCTAATCATTACAGTGTTTTAACGTTTGATTGGGCGCCGAAAATGGTGAGACTATTTCCAGTAGGTATTGGTTAGTATCAGTACAATTATGGACAAAATGATGATACTTTAACGATAAATAAGTATTCACTTAAATTTTTGTTCTCAATGGTTACACTACCTATCCTTCGATATAGCTTGATTGCTCATTTGGCTGGTGAATAGTTTCGTTATTATTTCATGTTATTTACATAGTTGTTTGTTTATAAAGAAGCTTGTTTCTCTGAGATAAAATACAAACATTGAGTCTGTTTGTTAGGCATTCTATGTTTAGATATTTGTCAGCTAGTATTAAAACGTATTAACAGTTCTAATACAGTGACTAATGTCATTAAAAATATCTTTTGGCTATCCCAGAATGTTTGTTTAACTACATCAGCTTAAGTAATCATACCATATAACGTTTACATATACCTTGGCGGCAAAATCTTAATTTTTTAAAATTTCAGATACAATAATCAATGGATGATATTTGATGCAAAACGCTGGCCAAATGATAAGGCTTCACTTATGATTTTTGAACAGCTACCGTAAGTTAGTTTTTGTTTTAAAATGTAGTATATATCTACTACAGTCGGGCAGGTTTATTTGCAATTATTCAGTCAAATTTCATCAAACAATGATATTGAGTATTACTCATGATGTTACACGTGCACGAGTATGAAGCTACTTTCAGCCTTATCCTTTCATATTGGAGATATCGATTTCATATCATCTTTCACTCGATGTCAATATCTCATTAAATTGACTGAATTTAACTCAACAGCCACATAGAGTTTAAGATACTAGACGATCAGACATACCTGTTGTGTGAGGACTTGTAACCGAACGTCAATTCACGAAGCAGGATTTAAACTACCGGTACATTAACTGGAAGTTGCATACCTAACTGAATAAGCATAACCCCATAACCGGACCATTGTAAACTTACTTAAAAATTTACTAACTGATATATCTGCAAGGCCTAAAATCCCGATGTTTGTCAATGATGTTTTCTACTAAGGAAATTTCACCACAAAAATGACTCACTTTGCCAGTAATCAACTGACTACAACACGATCATCTAGTCTCCTCCTAGTGGAAATGCCTTATAACTATGCAGGGGAAAATACTGCATTGCTGTACAAGGTACTTACCATTAATGAGGTGGAACAAGGAATAAACAATAGAATACAGTAATGATTTCAAGTCTATATTTTGAATTATGTGAATTGAACTAAGATATGCTAGTCAAGCCTTTTACATTATTTCATGGTTTCGTCATAAATGATAATAATGATAACTTAAACATGACATATTAGGTTGATCTATACAACAATATAACTTAAACAAACAAGCTCATTTTAAACGGAAGTGTAACATAAACAAAACCATAATGAATAGTTGTAGATAATCTTAGACTATACAATAACAACAATGATTCAGTTTAATCGAAATGACACATAAATGTTCAGAGAGTTGTGTTTGTGCTGAAATGTAATATATTAAAAATGCAGTCTAATGAGTGCAGTAGAGACATATACTGTTTGTCAAATAATAAGAAACACTGAAAACGGTACATCGCATGACCTGATTAAATAATTCGACATATATATATATATATATATATATATATATATATATATATATATATATATATATATGTAACTAGTATTTGATTCAATACTACATACAAAGTTCATCCTAAATCATCTATAGCTTAATAATCAGATTGAAAAATAATTAACACAAATTGACAAGTTGTATAAGTGTATATCTTGAATAGTAAATAATATTGGTTGACTTATAATGAGTTCAAATGCTGCAATTCTGTTCATTTCGATTAGTTTGCTAGTAGTTGTTTTGTTACTTGTAATTCTCAGTACCTATGCGGGGCTGAATTGCTTGATCTCTACTTTTGGTAGATAAGCTACTATGAGGATGCCGCGACGCTGTTCAACAATCATGAAGCTATATTCGTGTTGCTGACTAGCAGAGGAATGCAGAACGCGCGTTTCATCCGATTTGCGACTCGTCAGCTGCATGTACATGCGCCTCAGTGAGTGATGTTCATCCCAATGAGACTCAGACCCAGTACCCGTTGCTTCAAACGCCAGTGTTATCCACAAAGCAACTGGAGCACAACAGTCGCAGTGGAAACAACACTCATTGAGGCATAGGTGCACCCAACTGACGAGTCCCAAACAGGACAAACAAACGTCCTGGATTCCTTTACGAGTCACCAACATGAATGTAACATCATGGTTTGCTGGAAATTAACTTTATCGTTTGGCAGATATAATGGGAGTGAAAATTTTAGAGAGAATCTTTGGTCAACTTTTTTAATAAGAAAAGTTTTCAAGATTTAGTCATGTCGGATTTAAATTGAAGTGAAGTGTCATTGAGATCCATAGAATCTGATTTGTTTTTCTGTAAGTCGTAATATTTATTTTTGTGACCATAAGTATCATTTGATAGGCTCAGTAAATGATTCAAAGTAGTAAAATACTTAATTGTATGTCGGAAAAATCGAAACGCACTGACCAACCTGGTACATATTCGTGAAGTAGGCAATCATTATCATTATATTATTTGTCCCTTGGGTTCCTAGAGGAATATAGGGCTCAAGCAACACGTCACCATCTCACTCTCTTCTCTGCAGTCTGCTCAACATGACTCCAACACTCCCCAAATGCCTTCATTTCTTCCTCACACGATCTCCTCCATGTCATCATCGTCTCGGACGCCCAATTGGTCGTTTCCCATTTCGGTTCATCTCGAGGGCCTGGCCTGGCTTGGCCTGGCCACATCCTTAATATCCACAAACGGTATTCTCAGTTTATGTCCAGCCAAACCCAATCCACCTCCACTTTCTTCTGCATATTTGTTGGGCAATCGGTTGTTGGTCGGTTCGTTGCCAGTCAGAGTTCCTACTTGCTTATTCTTATTATTCTGACCATCTGATCTTGAGTAGCGAGTGAGAGTAGGAGGCAGCTGTTCATGTGATGTGTGTCTGCAGTTTGTTGTGAATGCATTTTGTAACGCGCCAAGTTTCTGAATCATCACAGAGAATCACTGACTTGACGTTAATGTTAAAAGAATCCGGATGTTGTTCACGCTTTATGCTGAGTGCAGTGCAGTGCAGTGTAGCAGATCTCCACATTGATTTTAGGTTAATGAAGGTCTGTCTTGCTGTCTTTCCGATCCTGTCTTCGACGTCCTCATCTGTGCTTGTGCCGCCTCTAGTTGAAACGATGCTGCGTTGCCTAGGTAGGTGAGAGGGACTACTTCCTTTAGGTTTCTCTCGTTGATGATGATTGGTGCTTGTTGCTGTTGTTGTTGTTGGTTGGGTACCTCCATCACCTCTGTCTTCTCTACGTTCACTTGAAGGAGGTCTCCTGCTCACTGCCCTGCCTCTTCTGTCAACTTCTTGGTTTTCGCCTGTGGATCTTCAAGTTTGTGTGACTTTAGACAAATCGTCATCGACGAAATCCAAATCTTCTTCTAGAGTCTTATCATCGGTCATCAGACAGCTTATACTTCTCTTCTCGCTCCTCACAGTTGTCTGTTGCATGATACAGTCCAGTCCACCACAACACAAACAGGAAGATGATCGGTGATAGTGGGCAGCAACCTTGTCTTACTCGCTTCTTCACTTCAAAGGTGTCACTGAGCTTTCGATTGTGAATCCCTTCACATGTAGTATGATATAGCATATAGCTGCTGTTGACTGGGATTGATAAACGTCTGTGTCACTAGAAGCGTATTGTTGAAGTAGTTGTCAAATTACCTCTCGATCGATGCTGTCGAAAGCCTTTTCAAAATCGATGAATTTGGGGTTGAGTTGACTGTCGTTTTATGCTCTCTCTTGTGATGAGAAATTTGCAATGAGTCATATATATTGTATAAGTGCTAATGATACTATTTCCCTGCGCTGATCTCTGTAGGTGTAGCGATGTTCGAATCCGTGACCTATGTGTCGGAAAGCATTCACCGAACCCAATTGCTCACGACTGCACGTGGATTAAATTTTTCAAGCTATCTAACAGATAAAAGAAGGGATAATTTTGTAATAAGAATTCATAGGGAGATACTCATGGAAAGTGGGAGGTAAAAAGGAATAGATCGTTGGATTTCTAAGGGGGATGCCAATTAAGTAGACGAATTTACACACGTGAAATTCAACAAATTCATTTCTCTCATGAAGTCAGTCACTAGACGCATTTATTAAGGCAATATCTTGACTTTAAGAAACTGAGACTTTTTCACCCTTCTATTCAAGATTAATGTATATTATTGTAGAAGAAATGATAAGTATGATACAAAAATTATACTTCTCAAAGCTGAAACTGATACTGTTTTTTCTGTAGTGTACTTCACACTTACAATATTGAGACTTTGACTTCGCGATCACCTATTTACGTGATTCTTCGCTGCATTTTCCAGTTCTGTCTCCTGTTATTTGGATATGTCTAAGTGATAGTTATAACATTCACTGGAATAGGGTAGCCGGCAGTCTACAGCATCAAAATGTATCTGATTACAAAGCTGGATTCTAAGAACTGCAAATCGCTCTACTTTATTTCATAAAATGTTGCTGTTTATATTATCCCATCGTTAAGTGGATCGAATTGATTGGTTTCTTTTGACATATTGGCTCCTGCGTGGCCATCGCGACCCAGTGGTCTGGTGCATAACTCTCCGGCGTTTGAAACAATTGGCCCCGATTTCGAGTCCCAGTTTGAATAACATTGTTCACTGAGAGGCAGATATATCCGCTTGACGAAGCCAAAATAGGACGAAGTGCACTTCTCAAACTTCACTGCTGGGCACTGTCCAAAGTTAATTCATTTCTTATAACGAGTAACTTAAATGTGATGGCCAAATTTCTTATTCAGACTACAGTCAAATCATTGTGAACTTCGATCATTTGTCATGAACATTTCATAACCAGACTTGGTGAAATCTTCAGAATAAACCACATAAGTCGGGGACAATAAACCATAACTGTATGTATATTTGAAACTATCCAGATAGCCGCAGTTTGGCAGACTAGTAGTCATAAGGGGTCCAAATTTTCATTTCACCTTCAATCATCACCCAGTATAAATACTAGTCTGCCAAACTATAGGTATCTCAGTTAGTCAAGTGAGAATCAATATGATGCTCCCTCTCATTGATTTAGTTAGATTTGGATTGGGACGAGAAGTTCTGATTAGGCAGCCAGTGTGAATACGATCAAGCGGTAGTAACGCGTCACGAATTTACGTGGTAGTCGGGCAAAACTCTTGATGATAGAAGGAATTAAAGATCTGATCAGTAGTATGACCTCGTAGTATGTTGGTAGAGCACCGGGCCGGAAACCCGGTGGTCAGTGGTTTGAATTCGGCAGCGGTCCGGACTTCCAACTCACCTTCAATCACATATATGCTTTAGGTACTGAGGTTGTGTGAGTCGAGACATCACTAAAATCTGGAAATAACTGATAATTTTCACCTCATAATGCGATAATCCTTATCATTTTACCCTGAATCAATTTCTACTCTACAAAAAATGCATTTCTTTTCTCACATTACCTACACTGTGCTCTGCTAGTCATCGTTAACCAAATTCTACTATTCTTCGTAAACAGTGACTACTAGCGAATGTGCTCGTAAACTTAATCATACACTTTTTGCATTCCGACTAGAATTACTTCAGGGGTTTAGAGATAATCTTTTCTTAATAGTCTATACAAACAAATTGATGTTAGTTGTCATGTAAATGATCTCTTACTTACCAAGTATACCTTTTTATATTTGAATGAACAATTGTTTTCGAAATGGTGTAGAATACTTCTAACTTAGGTGGTTGATCTTAGTTGTGTCGCCTCCTCTGGGTGGGGAAGTCTAATCGAAAAACTTTTGTTAACATTCTGCACAATAATGTCGGCGTTAACTTCAATATTTTCGCAACAACTTTGTCGGGGTCTGCAGATACGGACTTATTCATACTGTCGTTCATTAGGCAGTGTAAGACATCGAAAACACCACTGATACCCTACACTGGTGGGTATGTAAGCTAGCATTGATGGATATATAACTATATAGCCTTAGGAGAAAGCAACCGGAAACAACTGAGGCTTTGTTATTAAGCCAACGTCAAACACATGCACTGGGAATAACTCAACATCTACTTTAGATACTGATTAATTTGATCTAATCAACGCTGGGATCATACAAGCAACAGTATGAAAAATATACTCGTTGCGAAAAGAAGTAGTTGTCGTTAGTTTGTGGTCTAGTGGATAGCTCTGTGGCGATGGGAGCAATCGGTCCTGCGTTAAAGTCGTCGTGGGAACAACACCACTCACTTGGTGACACGTATATCTCACTGACGAGTCCGAAACGTGCCTCATGGGCTCCACTGCTAGCCCCTATCTGTCATTATTATAAAATCTACTTAAGAATTTTGTAAAATCCTTTTAACCGTCTGACTAATAAAAGGGCGACTTTAAAGGTTACTCTAGCAACGATTAAAATAACCAATTGGGTCTTCATTTCGACTGGAAAGGCAAATTTTCATGAAATAGAGAAGTTTATTTGGTTATTTCCGTTGTTGCTAGGGTGGCCTTTAAAGTCACTCCGAAAATACATATTACTTATATTCATTTTTCCCTCAGAAAATGAAACTGAAGGAGAAAACTGTTCACTAAGGTTTTCCTGCCCACACAGTAACACCAAACCAAAGCCCAATCCAAAATTCCTACCTTGGCCGCTGATAACCTTGAATATTGATCTTGATCTAGGCTGCTTCCTATCATAAACGAGATAATATGTTTGCTTAAACATTTCCTATTCAGAATATTGAATGAGGACTTTACATTATTTTTACTATTTAGTGATTAGTTATTTAATCATTGGTGCAGAAATTTGGTTAACCCTCTGAATAAACGGGTTTTTTACTTTTGTTTATACAAGTTTAAGAAACACGTGTTATCAGGACATTGAAACCTTGAGTTACAGAGACTTTCCATGATAAGCTATATGAGATATAAGCTGCATTTGTTTTGTATGTGAAAAAAATGCCACTACGAACCTTATTCTTACAAAATACGTACCGCTTAGTTATTATTTTCCATCAGTACTGCATTTTATTTTACTCTTTTTGATTGGTAAACACCACTTGTCGTCCTTTTCATATAGTGGGACGGGACGAAGTCTTGATGTGACCAAGATATTGAAATCCCAGAGCTACTGGGCTAGTTATAATCTACCGTGAGTTTATCGATTTTACAAATGTTTAAGATTACATTTTGGGGTAGAAACCACTTTTATCTTACGTTGTTTTAGGTACTTATTCAACCTGAAAAATTACTCATCATCATCAAGATCAATATATGATTAGGCATTACTGCCTAACAGTCCAAGTTACCACACCTCATATAATCACATCAAGTAACAAGGCAATAAAATTGAAGGTGATAAATGAAAGAATTACCGGTCAAAGCAAGTAGAATTAAAAGTAGAAAGTAGTAAGAGAGAGGAAGGAAGAATGAGATGATGATGATGGGATTAAGTAGAGCGGTTAAGATGAAGATAATGTGTGTATTCATCTACGCCACTGACATCGTTTGTGAGCCATACCACCTAAAGTTAGTCTCCAACCACTGGTTCCTATTAATCCTCTGACCCCAACTGGGTAGTGTGTATCGCCCTACATGGCTGAAATGAACAGTCAAGGAGATTATGCGTTGATGGTATGTTTTAGCCTGGCTACTGGTAGCTTTTTTCGTTGCTGAACCCACTTCGGCTAACATGTGTGACGAGGCAGACGGTTGTTAAGCACATGTAACACATATTCCAGTCACCTGAGTCGATGAAGACTCACAACCTCTACTGTGTAGAACTCGGCACCTGACTTCTACATTAGTGATGTGGTGACACCACGACATACGGCCTATTTTACGAAGGTAACGGTGACCGGATACTTGAAGTCCTCATATGTACCTCAGATATAATGTTTTTTTGATTTTCAGCCTTCTTATCTATTTCGTCGACAAATAGTTCAATGAATTTCAAATTGACTGATGATATACACAGTAAATTTCACCTGTAGGTAAAATGCCTTATAATTGTAACAATAAGTAAGTAAGACTCATGGAGTAACTCAAAAGTTTGCATACTAGATTGTTATTCACACTGTGTTACTGGATAGGCTGACGTGAACGTAATGAGTTTTGACACGTTCCAATAGTCGATAATCCAAACCCTAGACCAACTGGTTCATAGCCTCACTTGATTGTATCTATTGGTAAGCTTGCTTAAACTTTCATCAATACTCTAGTGTTAGTTAGATTCTCAAAACTTCCACTAAACTTCATGCTATTGTATCACCAACGAACAGGTACATTAATGACATCTATATATTGAGTGGAACGGACCAAATGGCAAAACAGCACGGAGATTGGTACGTGCACAACAAAACAACAAGGGCCAAGATTTTTCGTCGTGATCATCACAAAGTCACCGACTTTCCTAGTATGCTGAAGCTTATGAGGTATGTTTTAACTAAACTGTTTGGTAGTTATGTTTTTGTGTACTGATTATGCCTAACACGCTGATAACTATTAGGTAGGGATATAGTTTGACGGCAAAGTAATATTTCTTTTTTCTAAGTTTTGAAGGAGCTAATCTCACTCATATTACTGTGTCATGTAATTGCGTGAGAGTGAAGTAGATTGCTGAAAGTTCAGATACTAGCGAAAAACAACATGAAGAATGTCTGTGATATCATGACTAGATTGAGGCCTTTTAGAATCTATGTAGCTCACAAACCGACAAAATCTCTTCACTTTGTGTTATGCAGGCCAAATGATGCAATAACAAAGAAAGTAAACCAAACACTATCTACAAATTAAATCGCAGGAACTGCGAAAAACACTCTATCGAATAGAGTGGTCGCTCTTTTCGTATCCGTCTAGCATCATGGCATATCTTCCCTCATATTAACGTATACAGACAACTGTGAACAAAAATTTGATTGAGAAAATGTGGAAAACCCTGTGAGAAGAAAGACAAAGGAAGTCAGAGAATATTTAGAAGTTTGGCACTCAAGTAAGTTAGCGATCAACAGACATATTGACACTGACCTAATCTACCAACCAATAAGAAACAACAAAATTCAAAGTTCATGCAGTCAGGACAACTAATCAAAATAATATGGAGACAATGATAAGACCTTGTCAAAAACATTCAATCACATACAAGCTACTAAGCCACTTGTTGAGAAAATTCTACATCTCAGTTCATTCTGAAGTTTTCGCTGATGATGTTGTCTAGGATGAAAATGAAAGCTTCAGGATTAAACTTTCTAGCTCATAGAACACAATCAATATTATAAGAGTAAACTTGATTACTTTGACAGAATGTCATTCCATTTTAGTTGATTTATTAGACATATCACATAGTACAAGAGTACTGTTTACTAGATTACGGTTCAGGCATAATGTATTGTCTGTTGTCATATCAAGTTGACTATGGACAATAAATTATGTCCGAAACGTAATTCAGTAAAATAATACTATTCCACTGTATGCTACATCTAATAAACCAAACAACGTGAGCGAAGAAATATTTCTTTTCAATTAGTTCCTCGTCAATGGCTCTACACTAATACAGGTAGCATTTTGAAAACGTAAAATTATGCACCAATCTATTGGTGAGAGTTGTTAAATAACAAGTTATCAATCTTTAAGTATCAACACAGTGATGACTGATCAGAGATTAATTATAGTAGAAAAGGTTTGTGAAATTTTTAAACAGGTTCTTACATAACTGATATTTCATATAATAGTAACTAAAGCATGAAAATGAATTGTTACGTAAAGTGGTAAATTGTTGAGGGTAATTAGAGAAAGCAACGGGAGAACAAGATGGCTAAAACTGTAATAATAATAATGATAACAATAACAGAATAATAATGGAGGTGTTAAAATATTAGCTATGATAATTTGTGGGATGAATGAAAGGAAGGGTCTTGTTGTAATAGATAAGCTATACAGATGGTCAAGGGAAAGAAAGAGGCTGTACGAATGTTTTCTGAACACATAGACTTGATCACTAGACCCGATAAAGGTTCAGGGGTGGTTATTATGAAAAAAAGCAGAATATCTGGATAAAATGAACAGCCTTCTTAGTGACCGTAGTAAATTTCAGGAACTATCAACCAATACTGAATCCTTAAAGAAATTAAAACAGCAACGCTCAATTTCAAAAAATGTCTATGAAATACTGAGACCTATCGGTATAGTAACACTGATATTATACGATTTACCAAAAGTTCATAACAACGGATTACCACTCCTACCAATTCTTGACATGTCAAACTCTCCGTATCATGAAACATAAAATGGCTAGTACAACTCTTGCGTAAGGAGGTTGTAAAGCACGTCTTCAAAGATACCTTCCACTTCATTGAGAAGACAAGAGATTTGAATGTGGATAATAAGTCTATGACATCCTTAGACGTATCATTCCCATTCATAAATTCCCTCTGATGGAAACAGTAGAGTTCATGTGTAGCGAGCTGGAAAAAAGAAATATAGAAATTAGAATTATGGCATTCACGCTGGAAGAGTTTCTTTTACGATGTACAATGAATGTACAACTTTCTATTCAACAAGGACGGTGTCACTATGGGGTCACCATTAGGCCCAATCTTAGAGGACGTTTTCCTAGCGAAGTTAGAAAATCACCCTCTGGCAAGTATCATAAGCGAGTTACAATTTTACTGCCGTTATGTAGATGATACATTCTTGATTATGAATAATGAGTACGATGCAAGGGCTATACTAGGTAAATTTAATAACGTTCATCCAGCGATAACCTTCACTATTCAGACAGAGAGTGACGACATCATCTTCTTAGATGTCCGACTGACAAGGAAGGCGGATGGAAGTGTATACTGGAAACCAACGTCAGCAGGCCAATACGCCCACCTCTTGAATTTCGTCCCCTTGGAATATAAACGAAATCTAGTAACATATTTAGTCCACCAGGCTAGATTCATCTGTTCAGATGATACTTTTGACAAAGAGCTTCAAGTTATCCATGATCTACTCAGTAGTAATAGATATCCAAAAACGTTTCTCGCTAAAATATGGATACTTCTAATATGAAAACCAGAATATCAACAGTCTCCAAGAGACCATTCTTCCTTAGACTACAATTTCGAGATGACATCATTAGCGAAATTGTAACACAGCGACTAAGAAATGCCACAAGAAGATCTATTAATGCCGCCAAGTTATGCTGTGTATTCTACAGCAGCCGATGACGACCATGCGAGTCAAGGACAGACTACCTAAATTCTTCTCTTCTATGTCCACTTACCAGTTCAACTGCACATGTGGAGCTAGTTACATTGGACGTACAGTTGGGCAAGTCCGTTGTTGAATTGCCGAGCATCATCCTTCATAGCTAAGTGAGGGATAAACCAGATCGATACGAAGCTCAGTACTCTCGCATCTGATTGACAATGGCAACCGAGTTAATATTCATGCCTATAAAGTTATTCATCACATTCATTCTAACCTGACGCATGCTCTACGACCTCGCCTTTTACGTACAGCAGAAGTCATGGGAATCCACCTAATAAGCCAAGTCTGTGTGTTCAGAAAACATTCGTACAGCCTCTTTCTTTCCCTTGACCATCTGTATAGCTTATCTATTACAACAAGACCCTTCCTTTGATTCATCCCACAAATTATCATAGCTAATATTTTAACACCTCCATTATTATTCTGTTATTGTTATCATTATTATTATTACAGTTTTAGCCATCTTGTTCTCCCGTTGCTTTCTCTAATTACCCTCAACAATTTACCACTTTACGTAACAATTCATTTTCATGCTTTAGTTACTATTATATGAAATATCAGTTATGTAGAACCTGTTTAAAAATTTCACAAACCTTTTCTACTATAGTTAATCCATGATCAGTCATCACTGTGTTGATACTTAAGATTGATAACTTGTTTTTAAACAACTCTCACCACCGGAGAATATTTGTAGCTCAGGTGGATGGTCTTGGTTGGATTGTGTTCTCTGAGCAGTGTTGTTTAGTCGTGAAGCTTTCATAGTCTTTCTACACGACATCATCAGCACTAACTTCAGCATGAAGTGACCTGTCAATATCTCACCGTGACTGATTTAGTGGCTTGCTCTGACGATGTGGTCTGTGATTGGTTGTTTCCGTCGATTGTTGTGTCATTGACTGTATAGATTTTCCTGTTGGGTGTTCCTCTGCTTGATCTCTGACCTTTCTATCGTTTATCATTTTTCTTGTTGGTTGATACAGTTTATCTATGTCTATACATCTACTGGTTGCTGACTGACCTGGATGGCAAGCTTCTTCGAATTCACTGATATTCTTTGTGTTTCCTCCCTCCGTCTAAGACTTCTACATTGTCAAAATTGAATTCACAACCATCGATGTTATCCACGTGCACTGAAATGAGTGATGAAATGTCGTGACACTTAATAGCCAATTGGTGCTCATGTAGACGAAGGTGAAGAAGGCAACCACTTTGTCCAATGTAGTGTTGACTACAGTTATTGCAGTTGATTTTGTGAATGATATTTGGTTTGTCTTCTCTGGTTGTTGCATCCTTTGGTCTGCATAATAGTGTTTGGAGGGAATTTGTTGGTTTATGAGCCACACCAATTCCAAGTAGTCTCAGTAATCGTGTCATGATTTCTGATATATTCTTTATGGGGTCAGAGGGACAAAAGAAACCAGTGATTGTAGACTAACTTTAGGTGGTATGGCTCACAAACGGTGTCCGTGGCGTAGATGAACACCTTATCCTCATCTTGGTAGGATGATGCGTTTATTGATTTCTGTCGATGACTTTGTAGTTGGTGATGCACGGGATAGGCATCTTATGATAAAGTTTCGTGGATAGCCGTCCTTCTTTCGGGTGAACATCAAGTAATTTTCTTCGTTTCACCGTGAAGTTGTGCTGCAGTGTGTCTGCAAGCCACTGATTGTGTGTGTTGTTGCTATTGTAGCTGAGGATTTGGTCAGTGTGTGTTGGCTTCCTGTACACCTGAATTTCCAGCATTTATCCTATTGACTAAAACATCCAGGAATGGTAGCTGGTTGTTTAACTCTTTCCCCATTGTGAATTTGATGCCATTGTAAATGTTGTTGATCAAACTATGGGTGTTTTCTATATCATCTTTTTATTGATGACAGAAGTGTCGTCCACATAGCGAATCCAAATTTTTGTTTTGATCACAGGTAGAATGACTGTTTCCAGTCTCTGGATCACTGCTTCTGCAATTAATCCAGATATAGGTGATCCCACTGGAGTTCCTTTCATCTGCAGAATCAACTACAAAGTCATAGACAGAAATCAATAAATGCATCATCCTACTGCCCTTAAAGAATATATCAGAAATCATGACACGATTACTGAGACTACTTGGAATTGGTGTGGCTCATAAACCAACAAATTCCCTCCAAACACTATTATGCAGACCAAAGGATGCAACAACCAGAGAAGACAAACCAAATATCATTCACAAAATCAACTGCAATAACTGTAGTCAACACTACATTGGACAAAGTGGTTGCCTTCTTCACCTTCGTCTACATGAGCACCAATTGGCTATTAAGTGTCACGACATTTCATCACTCATTTCAGTGCACGTGGATAACATCGATGGTTGTGAATTCAATTTTGACAATGTAGAAGTCTTAGACGGAGGGAGGAAACACAAAGAATATCAGTGAATTCGAAGAAGCTTGCCATCCAGGTCAGTCAGCAACCAGTAGATGTATAGACATAGATAAACTGTATCAACCAACAAGAAAAATGATAAACGATAGAAAGGTCAGAGATCAAGCAGAGGAACACCCAACAGGAAAATCTATACAGTCAATGACACAACAATCGACGGAAACAACCAATCACAGACCACATCGTCAGAGCAAGCCACTAAATCAGTCACGGTGAGATATTGACAGGTCACTTCATGCTGAAGTTAGTGCTGATGATGTCGTGTAGAAAGACTATGAAAGCTTCACGACTAAACAATACTGCTCAGAGACCACACTACAATCAAAACTTTCACCACTAGACTCATATTTAATTTTACGTTTTGAAAATGCTATATATAAGTGTAGAGCCATCGATGAGGAACTGACTAAGCAGAAATATTTCTTCTCTCACATTGTATATTTACTAAATGTCTAGTTGGAAATTTTTGCATTATCTAGTAAAGTGACTAAAATGGAATAACATCATCAAAATAATTTCATGTATCAAATATAAATTATATATCGGGTTTTTAGGTAGTTGTAAATCAACAGCTGATGCAGTGTGGAAGTATAGAGTACAAAAATAAATTTAATTAGAAATCACATGTTCATCTTTTCATTGTTATTTTAAACGCAAACTAGTAACTATGACTCGAATCATTTTGTATAATGGTTATTTTCAAATTTGTTTTCAGATATAATAATTTTATGAATGATCCACTCTCTGTTTGTCCTTGTAAACCCCCATACACAAGTAACGGTGCTATATCATCACGTAATGAACTCAATGATCCTGATGGTTATTATCCAATCAAATCATGGTCTTATCGTCTATCTGGAGGCACAGATGCTAAACTTGTAGATCTATCGATGATTAATCAAGTTAGTTAAATGTTTCTTTGGGTTGATAATTAAGGATAAACAGTACACTATGAAATAGCACTAATGAATCAGGATAAATCTGTTCACTTTTTAGTTGTCACGTTTTATTATATGGCTTTTGTAAATCGTGGCCTGAATTTCTCAGCGGGAACACCTCACACTTCAACCCTAGGGGACAGCAGTTCAGACCTATAATATGACGTCACTATTGGGAACCACCAAAAGTATTAAATTCAGGATCCCAGCTTACTGTCAATCAACTAAGATCGGTATGACATTTCGAGTAAGCGAAGTTTGATGATTTACTATTGCCTACCTGGATGCATTTTTCTTGATGAGGGCTGAAAATTCTACTCAGTTTCATTCTATGAACTAAACAGGTTTATAGGGGACTGAATGCGTTACTATTACGTAACGCTTAACCCACCTTACTTTACTCAATGTGTTCTACTACCTGTTTAAATGTAAGTACTGATAACGAAACACAAATCAAAAGGACTGGTATTCAGGAGTATATTCGAAGAAGTAATATAGTTAAATAGAATTAATGTCATAGTGATTACAAGGGGAAAAGTTTATCCAACTTATCTAGCTATTATGGCTGAACTAGGAACTCTGAGAACGTGGTTGCTAACCAGTACAAAGTAAGCGAAAAATGGTGTCAAAGCCTACTCGGATGAATACTCGTTAAAACAAAATGTAAACCATGTTAAACATCTGGTTGCAAGCTAGAAGTTTATTTAGTTAATTCAGTTTAATCTATTTATTTTAGCCCTAGTTGCATTTGGTGCCAAGAAGGTGCACTACAGGTTCAAGAAAATCCTGACACTTAAGCAATATTTTTCTCACTCATTAAAACGATTGATAGATTTGAGCGGTTTATCCAATGAAACTTGACAACTCTAGTCTTTTAACACGCAGAGTAAGTTTGATTTGTTTTCAAATGCTTCATTATATTTCCTCGATGTCAACCATTCAAACTTACCGGTTATTCAACTTTCAAAAGTACCAAAGAAAACCAACAAAACAGAACGAACTAAGACGGAATGCTAATTTATTTAACGTATTGGGAACAAGTCTTACTATGACTGCACACACGGTCGAACACAAAGTCACTTCCGACAACACACCTTTAAGTGATGGATTGTGACTTGAAATACTTGAGGAGTGACTTATTCATCTACTTTACCAACTTAATGAGCTGATTTGTATAGTAGTTTGCTCTGCTGGATTAATAGTCACTAACGGGTTTCATCAACTGGTGAACCATATTCTGTATGATTATATAAATATTCTATCATAACTTATTCAATTAGTTGACAAGACAGAAGTACAATAAATCATTTTACTACTTCACTAATGTCACTCTGATTCAAATGCTAGGACACTTTTTATGTACATACTCTCTAAAGACAAAGTCAATGTCTGCTTAAATGAACACTGAACTGGATCAGTCAAAAAGTATTTTGGGGAAATCAAAATACAAAACGATTAGCGAAATTATTCAACTAAATCTGTCTTTACTCATGTGCAAATGATGCAGTCATCATCATCAAGATCAATATATGATTAGGCATTACTGCCTAACAGTCCAAGTTACCACACCTCATATAATCACATCAAGTAACAAGGCAATAAAATTGAAGGTGATAAATGAAAGAATTACCGGTCAAAGCAAGTAGAAGTAAAAGTAGAAAGTAGTAAGAGAGAGGAAGGAAGAATGAGATGATGATGATGGGATTAAGTAGAGCGGTTAAGATGAAGATAATGTGTGTATTCATCTACGCCACTGACATCGTTTGTGAGCCATACCACCTAAAGTTAGTCTCCAACCACTGGTTCCTATTATCCTCTGACCCCAACTGGGTAGTGTGTATCGCCCTACATGGCTGAAATGAACAGTCAAGGAGATTATGCGTTGATGGTATGTTTTAGCCTGGCTACTGGTAGCTTTTTTCGTTGCTGAACCTACTTCGGCTAACATTGTGTGACGAGGCAGATGGTTGTTAGGCATACATAACACATGTCGATGAAGTTTCATAACCGCACCAACTGTCTTACCTTCAAACGATGTAAGATAATATTATTATCAGTGATTCATTAAATAAATAGTCAATCAAGAACAAAACGGACGTCAGTTAACTAACCAATACACTTTTAGTAATTTCGGGATGATTGTATCTCTACCGACAGTGATAAATATCAATATGTAAATATCTAAATGCGAAAAAATACATAAAACTAAACGGTTTGTATTTAGTGAAATATACCATCGGGTTTGGAGAATGACTAGACGCTGGTCGTATTGATCTTCAGGTCTTGCTCACTAGACAAACCAATCACTTTTCTAATAATAAATTCATTATCGATGTATGCGAAAATGAATTTAATTTGCCCAAAGTATTACATCAAAAAGTTATCTGAATCATATCCAGGCTATTTACACGATGCACAGTCTAAGTCTCTTTTTTTCTTATCTCTGCTTAACGGTTGACTTACCTAACTGTGGTGTAATAGAAATTTTCGCTAAAAACATCAAATCACAGTTTGTAATCATACGTTTTAGCAAATATGTGGATTTCTGTTGGCTGTTTTACCATTCACAATACTGTATTGCTTTTCTGTTTACTATGTAGAAATAATGTGTCAGAATTCACAGTATATGGTTCATTTGATAGTATTAAATAGAAATTCGGTCAACAGTATAGTTGATCAATGAAAAATGTAACACATCATTCAATTTTTGGATATCCAGTAAGGTGTTTTATAGAGTCAAGTAACCCATGGTTACATTACATATATTCACTCTCAAATATCAATGCCTCATAACGCTAAAACAATGCAACTATCCCTACTTTTCTGGTAACAGATTCCCCTGTTATTATATTTTCTGAAGACAATACAGTCCTTTTTCACTAGACATCAGATTTGGTTTCCCAGTAAAGCTATAACTACGAGATACAAAGTAGAATTATTGAGTCTTGCAAGGATCTAAGTTATATTTGCTTTACGATTTATAGTAATGTTGGATACTGCCTACAAATGGAACCCAGGATACGCGTTTCTTCCTATTTGGGACTCATCAGCTGGATGTACCTGCCTCCCCGTGAATGATGTTGTTCCCACGAAGACTCGAGACGGGGACTGACCGTTTCGAACGCCAAAGCAACACCCACTAGGCCACCAAGTCATGACAACCACTTCTTGCATAGTTTTTATACAAGCAAAATCATAAAAGCTGTACCCATGGCATACAATGTGGCTATCGCTACTCAGTGGTCTAGTGGGTGATGCTTTGGTGTGAGAAGTTATCGGTCTAGGGTTCGAGTCTTCGTTGGAAAACCATTCACTAGGAGACAGATATGTCCAACTGAAGAGTAACGAATCGGACGGAAAGCGCGTTCCGGATTTCGCTGCTAGGCACTATTCATTATTACTGTAAAATTCATACACAGCCAATATCAAGGCATCTGTGCAGGAACCCATTTGCCAATAGCAGTAAGTCAATTCGGTCCGACGGGATAATACAAGCAACACCATAGATTGCTTTTGATCTAACTTCTTTTCTAGTTATTACCTCTAATGCTCTAAAAAGATAAGTTGTACATCTCTGTACGGATTAGACGCATAACTATTCTGTTGTTGCAGTGAATCTATGTACTTTTTCTAAAACTAAACATTTCAGTGAAATGTACTTCATTCTAAAACTATTGAGTAGGATACGTGGAGCAATGCGCAAATTCAAGGAAAACATTGTAGCAGTTCGAATTAACACATTTCACACTACTGTGGTAAAACAAATCAACAGAAATAAGGAGTTATCAATGCAAAACACGGCTATGAAAGGAAAGAAAACCAAAAATCTAAAACGAATAAAGATAAAATGAACCTGTGTCACCATAATCTATTTCAAACTCTTTCATCAAGCCTCCGATCACTGCCATCTAAACCACTAGCAGTGTAACAGGTAGCCTACACCCTTCTCCTTCCCACCACCCCCAAATGATTCACATCATCAGTTAGTGACTTTCTGATCTGCTATCACTCCTGTTTTGGTTCTCTTCAGTTTTACTTTTACCTTATCCCACTCCGACAAATATGATGCTTTGGGCAGCAGTGACACTTTGCATCTACAAGAGGAGGTACAGGTTCCATTTCTTTGATTGGGCATTTAGCAAGAAACGTAGGTCTATGGCTTCAGAGCACTCAGTGCTAACCCGATATATATATATATATATATATATATATATATATATATATATATATATATATATATATATATATATATATATATATAGTCCATGATTCAGGGCACTATGTACTAGTTGACGCACGCTTCAGCAGCCGTTCGACTGGCTCTTTGCATCATGTACAATGCTATGAATTTTTATGTCCAATAATAAAATCGCAACCTTCCACATTTACAGCTTAACATGATCGCAATCAGTGGACCAACTTATGATGATTTGCCACCATTTCAATGGTCATTAATTAAGAATGTGAAGAAACCTATAATGCAACCAAATAAGTGGCAATTTCCTCCAGTGATCACCAATTTCACTGACTATCTGTGCACAAACTGTAATATTTCTACTAAATTGTTTGTATTCCAGTCTCTTTTTTAGTAACCATAATCAAAAATATCAAAACTTAAATCTAATTGGTTTTTATGACTACAAGTCATTAATTTAAGTTTGAAAATACATTTATTCAGCTTTCATTTACATTTTACACAAAGTTTTCATTTTTCTGGGAAGTAATATGTATGACAGTTTGTAAATCGGCTGGCTTTCAAAAAGTAATCATTAATTAGCTTATCTTCTGATACAATACAATAGAAGTTTAGCCAAAGAGAATACAATGCGGTCAATCGAAGACCTGAACTACACTCAATTACTTAAAATCTGACTAACATGAACAGTAACGCTACATGGACGGTCAAATGTGGATAAGTGAAGTTTATATGAATCCCTGAATCAGTGACTGGATTGGTTTACTAAGTCATACCGGTCAGCACCTAACATACTTGAAGTCAGGAAGCCTATCTTACGGATTAACAAGAACTGTAAAAGTTTGGGCTTTTATATTCAAATGTTGCAGTAGATTACGCAGAAATATCTGGTACAAAAGGGAATGATACTGATGGGGAAATACGAGACGAAGATGAGATGTGATGATGATGATACTAATGGGGCTGACAAAAATGAACCATAAACAAGCAAGAAGAGAGCAAAATGAATACTTATCTTTGCTTTCTGCTTCAAGTTTCATTTAAATATTCACGTAAACTTAGCTAAGTCAATATCAGCCAATTATTAGTTAAGTAATCTAGCGGAAAGCTCAGCTGCAGCTACGCGGGTAATTTCATACAATAGGATGGGACAGGGCGACAGTTCTAAAATTTCAACTGAAAAGAGGGAGAGATTGATAACTGGATCTTTCTGATTGAATCAACATAAAGTGCACGCAATAACTCAGAACCTGTCCCAGACATACTGAAAATCTCACTACCCATATAACAAAGAAGAGAAAAGTAGAACCAAGTAAACCATGTCTCAAAGTTGTGGGTTACCTAGATGTAAATATGGATAATAAGTTGTCTGAAATAGTATCCAGTTAATAATTCTTATGTATGATTCATTGAACAAACAAACTAAAGTGAAATTACAATCTACTACATTGCCCCAGTTTTATTTCTGTACGATTAAAACTGAAAGAAAATTATTCCATGACTGCCTCCAACCTTGAGTTTGAGTTGTGAACACGATATCTTAACACCCATTAGAAACCTCAATATGTGATACACTCCAAGAGAACCTCACTTGGGCTGTGTGTTCACGCAAAAACCAACCCACTCTATTTCAGCTAACCCAAGAAAATATCGAACAACTGATTTCCAGCTGTAAGGAGACATTGCCTTCCACATAGTTTCAATAGCAAATAAAACTAACCTAATGAGCATTTTCATCCCTGCCTTTGACTGAATTACCTGTTCTTATTGTCAACCTTATATCATCCACTGTTTTCTCAACTTCTTACGCTCCAGGCACTGCTAATGAACTTTGACAATAAAACACCGCACTAAGTCTCCTAAAAACAACACACCAAAGTCTACATAAAAATTCTTAAAGTCTAAGTCCTATGGCAAATTAGAAAATATGTGTAACTAGTCAGAAATCTGGTATTTGTACTATGTAGTTATCCTGTTTCAGAAACATGCATGTGAGACCAACTGCGATTATTTGCTTGGCGTATCTCGGCCAATGCAGTGGATCTATAAAATTCCTCCAGTGAGTGTTTACCGATTCAGTGGCCAGTTGCAGTGGGCTTTCAAATGAATACATCTTATTAATTTTTACAGTGAATAGCCAACTTTCTAACCGGATGCTAGCTAAAACGCTGGATGGAACAATTTGAATAAATGTTCTACTAGCCTGCAGCCAAGCTTCGGGTGCTCAGTATCCGGTCCCAACCTGAAAGAATTGTATTCTGATCTTGATGAAAGTTGTGAAGGCTATTTAAATTCCGAGAAGCGGGACTTCACAGCTTACCTCCAGAAGTCACGAATTAATGGCTAGAATGTGAAGTTCCAGATAGTAGAGGGTGGTTCCGCAATTATGATCTTAATCGTGACAATCAGAGAGAAATTGGCTTTTGTAATACCCAGAATCTTCAGCTAATTAGCATCTGGCTTCAGCTTGATATTAACAAATTCCAGGGAAGCAGGTAAGTTTCAAAGCCGAATGCGAGTGCATTGATCAAATCAGGATTTCGAAACAGACGCGTCAGCATCCCATGTTCAGCTTCTTTGTGAACTGAATCTGACATTTGACTCGATCAGTCGACAGATCTTGTCACAGTGTCTAACTGTGAAAGGCGTACAAACGAATTACATTATTGCGATCAAGGCTTCCTGCTTGAATTCATGCAGTTGTGCAGGAACCCATAGAGAGTTGTCACCAGAGGTCACAACTATAAGTGGCGTTAACCAGGGAAGTTCACCCTCACCATTCTTATTTAACCCTGTAATAGATCTACTTATGAATGCAACTCCCCCTGACTCCGAATTTCTCAGGGATCGATTCGCTACAAAGAGAGTACCTGTTTCATTGAAAACAACGAAAACCTGGTTGTGCTACATAAATCAACTGAAAACACAGAATCTTTTGAAAAAATTGAGCCGAATTTTGTGGATTCTTACAGTTCGATTAGTGCAAGGAGATTCTCTAGGCCTGATCCTAACCGAAGTATTCACTGTGGCTCACTCTACTTTTTTGACCGAAAATAGAGAACTTTACAACTCAGAGACAGTAGGTACTGACCGTAACTTGCCAATTTCTCGGTTTACTTCGCAGGATCAGGCGAATAACCGACAGATAGTATTTGAGAAATTGGGACTTCAAGGTACCTATGAATAATATATTTACGGATATATGAGAGGTGGAAGTCAGTCAGTCACGATCAGCTTGAGACGTGGCAATACGGCGCAGCGGTCCAAATTGCCACACTTCATGCCAACACAACACATCAACGTAGAAGGCACTAAGATGAAAGATGGAAAAATAAGGAAAGAAGTACCCATGATAGCAGAAAGCCGAGAAAAGAGAACGACAATAAATGAGAAAATAATGAAGTCGAGCATATTAATTAGCATGAATCATCATTATCAACATAGGACCAGGCATTACTGTGTAACGGTCCGAGTTGCCACACCTCACGTCAGTTCATCAAGTAGAAAGGTAGTGAGGTGCAGGATGAAGATAAGTGAATGCAGTCAAAAGAAATATCAAGTACGAGAAGAAAGGAAAGAGGAGCGACAAAATGGTGAGATTCGGTATAGCGTTGTTAAGATGAGGATAATGTGTGTATACATCTGCGTCACTGACATCAGTTCTGAGCCATATCACCTAGGGTCTCCAACCACTGGTTCCTCTTGTCCCGCGGACTACAACCACCTAGTCTGCATCGTCCTACATGGCTTAAACCAAAAGTCAGAGACTTCATACATTGGTGCCATGTTTCAGTCTGGCCACCTCGGGCCTTTTTCCAGCCTGGACCCACCTCAGCCAACATTGTGTGACGAGGCAATCGGTGACTAATTAGCATGAAGATAATGAGCGGATAAATCTACGCCACTGAGGCGAATTCTGACATATATCATTCATAGTCTTCAACCACCAACTTCAGTAGTCACGCAAGCTCCAACCAGAAAGCCTGCATTTCCCAACACTGCTCAAACCAACGGTCGAAGACTTCACCAACTGATGTTTCAGTCTGGCTGCTTTTTAACTTTTTTCCAGTCATCTAACATTGCGTGACACAGTGAATAAACATGCTTAACACGTATCCCAGTTACCTCAGTCGAGGAGGGTTCAAAACATCGTTGACTGACTTGTTTGCCTTGTGCCCTTCATCTGACCTCGACATGGCTAACATGGTGATTCCACCAGGCACGAGCAATGCTACGAAAGCATCTAAAGTCAACGACCTGTACCTGCTTCATATTTTCTACTTTTGGTGGTCATTTCTCACATTCATATAGCAAGACAGAATAGACTCGTCCTTTAATAGGTGGTCACATATCTCGCCAGCGCAAAAAAACGGAAGTTACCAAATGTCAAATGAGTTTTCTGTATCCGAGATGAGATTTTATCAGCAACCAGCCTACTCAGGTTGGTATAACTCTCCGATCAAGTGAATTGGTCAACGCATCCAACCAATTAACTCAACTTGCAGACAAGTCCTGGAGCATTACATTTCAAAGGTGAAAAAACCCAAGCTAAATATACTCAGATTTCTGCTTGATGCATTAAGAAGATCCTGGGTTTTGTTAGCATCCTCGCCCAGCAGGGAAAAGTCCATAGACTCCAAATCAACTATATGACTTTAGGGAGTAGATAAATCTGTTAAGTCAAACGTACCCGAGGTTGTATCTATTAGTACATTTAAAAGGAAATTAAATAAACAAGACTATGTCATCTCCGTGCGCTAAGTCTACTAAGAAGTTTCCTATGACAAGATCAGAAGAATAGATAACTTTAGTATATCCATGGTAGAATTAAAAAGAGTGGGAAGAGCTGACGCTAGAGGCAACTCAGCCACCGGGTGTAGATTTTTCAACAGTTTTATGTACTTACTCAGCCCCTCTTTCCAGTGAGATACTGCTGTTAAACACCTAGGTCAGCGGAAAAGAATATAGGTTCCATATCAGGAAGAACTGTATCGAGCCGTGGTAAGTGTATGTGTTCTAGAACCTGGTCAAGGGTGAATATCTGGTCGATATACCCACAAACAGGTATAAAACCTCCGTCTCTCTTAAGTTTGCTGTTCGCATCCTAATCGGAACGTCTCTTTATTACGGAACCTGAGATCTTAGACACTACAATCGTCAGACTCCGTGGTTACCAAAAGTGATTTCTTTTCTTTCCGGAATAGTCAGTGACCGAGATCAGTAAAGGCACATCATACATGATTCCTATACGATAGCTAACACTAGTTAGTCAAACTAATAGTCATCAGCCACTCTTTTAAAATGCCTCCAGTAATACCCCATCTAGTATTGCTGCCTTTCCTAATTACAGATCACTTACAGCCTTATCAATTTTTACATTATTTGGAGGGTCTACCTGTATTCCATTTAGGGTGCGACTGGATAGTGGCCAACGGAATAACTGATAGAGGCCAGCTGAACTGCTCCGACTCACTTCCAGTTCGTCTCCCCTGTGAGTGAACCACAGACCCATTCCTTTCTTTTAGTCTCACCAATCATTGACTTATTTCACCAGTTTCTTTGAACAGTATAAATAACATATTAGATTTGTTTATTTGATATAAAGCGCACAGTGATACAGTATTATTTAATTGATACCATACAAGGAAGGAACATCAGAAACCATACGTAGGATTCTCAACAAGGTTGGAATTAGGGTGGCATTTAAACCAACAAACTCACTTAGAGGTAAGCTTTGTCGGCTAAAAGATCCGATAGAACCAATAAAAAACAATCGAGAAGAACGGGGTTAAGATTAAAGCCCAAAAAAAACAGGAAACAGGGTTTCCCAAAACAGAATAATAAAAAAAAAAAAAAAAAATATAAAAATAAAATTAGTATAAATAACAGCCTAAAAATATCTTCAGACGCAGACGAGCTTGCTTGGTCCCAAAATTTAATCAGTTCTTTATTGAAAGTATCTCCGGTTTCCTGATCGTCATGATGAAATCGCAGTCCTTGTAGATCTATCATTATTATTAGTCACTAGGGTTCCTAGTGGAACATAGAGTTTCAGTAGCACGTCTCCAGTGACCTCTGTTCTCTGAGATCTTTTGAACCTGGCTCCACGACAGCCCAGAAGCTCTCATTTCCTCCTCGCACGACCTCCTCCATGTCACCCTCGGACGTCCAACTCGTCGCTTCCCATGGGGATTCCACTCGAGGGCCTGACGCGTGATGTCCTCACTCGGCCTTCTCAGTGCATGGCCAATCCATCTCCACTTCCTCCTGCATATTTGTTGCGTGATAGGTTCTTGGTTGGTTCGTTCCCAGAGCTCCTTGTTGCTTATTCTAACTATTCTGGCCATCTGATCTTCGGTAACAAGCATAAGCAGTCGTTGATGAATGTCTGTAGTTTATTGGAAATCCCTCTCGTAACGCGCCAAGTCTCTGAACCATCACACAGAAGCACTGACTTGAATGACGTTGGTGCTGAAAATCCGTATCTTGTTCTGCATGCTGAGTGCAGAAGATCTCCACACTGGTTTCAGGCTAATGAACGCGTCTTGCTTTTCCGATTTGACTTTGACATCCTCATCTGTGCTTGTGGCGCCTGTAGTTGAAACAGTGCTTCCTAGATAGGTGAAGGAGGTTACTTCCTTTAAGTTTCTCCCGTTGATGGTGACTGGAGTTTGTTGTTGTTGTTGATGATGGTGGTGCGGTATCTTCATCACTTCTGTCTTCTCTATATTCACTAGAAGTCCCGTCTTCGCCGCCTCTTCTGTCAACTTGTTAGATCTTCAAGTTTATGTGACATCAGGCACAAGTCATCGTTGGCGAAATCCAAGTCTTCTAGGTTCTTTTCCGCAGTCCAGCGTATCCCCCTCTTATCGCTCCCCACTGTTTGTTGCATGATCCAGTCCACCACAATCAGGAATATCATGGGGGATAGTAGGCAACCTTGTTTCACTCCTGTCTTCACTTCACCTCAAGGCATCACTGAGCTTCCCATTGTGAATTACTTGGCATGTGGCATCTTCATACAGTTGTTGAATGAGGCTGATAAAGGTTTGCGATACTCCGTAGTAGTGAAGCAGCCTCCAAATGACTTCTCGGTCGACGCTGTCAAAGGCCTTCTCAAAGTCGATGAAGTTGAGGTAGAGAGCTGATTGCCATTCTATGCTCTGTTCTATGATGATGCGAAGCGTTGCAATTTGGTCTGCACATGATTTGTACTTCCTGAAGCCTGCCTGTTCCGGTTGTAGTTTCGAATCCAGTGCATCTTTAAGCCTCTCCAGGATGATGCGGCTTAATATTTTACTTGGGGTGGACAGGAGAGTGGTTCCTCGCCAGTTCTTGCAAACACTGAGGTCTCCCTTCTTCGGCAGTTTGACGAGGTAACCCTTCTTCCAATCGACAGGTACCTTCTCTTCCTTCCACACTTTCTGCAATAGTGGTGTGAGCATGTCTGCTGTTGTCTCTGCGTCTGTTCTCAGTGCTTCTGGCGGTATCCCATCTGGTCCTGCTGCTTTCCCGCATTCCAGTGGCTTTATGGCGTTCAGGACTTCCATTTTTGTTGGAGGATTTATGTTCACTTGTAATTCAGCGGCTGCAGGTGGTATTTCTGGACGAAGTGTAGGTGGTGGTCGATTCAAGAGCTTCTTGAAGTGGTCGGCCCATTGTTTCCTCTGTTTCTCTTCTTTCGTAATTAAATTTCCGTCATCATCTTTTATTCGTTTCATCTGTGTTGATCTCTTCCCAGATAGCAACCTGGTTATTTGATACAATGTCGTCAGGTCTCTCTTACCTGCAGCCTGTTCTGCTTCACTTGCCAGTGTTTCGTAGAAGTGTCGTTTGTCTCTGCGTTCACTCTTCTTTACTTCTTTGTTCAGTGTTTTATACATTGCGCTCAGTTCCTCTTGTCTTTGAGCGTCCTTGCACTGGTCTATCTTCTGTTTCACCATCCTCCTCTCCCTGCTCTATCAGCTCCCAGGTATCCGTCGAGATCCATTCCTTGTCTTCCACCTTCTTCCTTCCTAATACTGTTGTGCAGGTTTCTTTCCACATAGCTTTCAAAGACTTCCAGTGTTCTTCCACATAGGTTTCTTCACGGATGTTCCTCGATATCTCCCATTTTGTCTTGATGGCTGCCTTGAAGATCTCCTTTGTAGTTTTATCCTTCAGTTTCCGAGTGTTGTACTTGAATTGAGGTCTATCACCAGCTTCCTTGAAGGCCTTCAACGTGAATTTGTAGGTCGCTTGCACCAGATAGTGAGTGGTCTGAACCTACATCTGCTCCTATTCTTGACCTTGTGTTAAGTAGACTGCGTCGCCATTTTCTAGAGATTGAGATAAAGTCGATTTGATTTTTAGTGTGTCCATCTGGTGAAATCCATGTCGCTTTGTGGATATCCTTGTGCCTGAACACACTGCCTCCAATCACCAAATCGTTGAATGCGCAGAATTCTGCAAACAATTCTCCATTCTCGTTCATTTCACCTAGCGCCTCTCGACCCATGGTTAGTTCTCTTCCTGTGTTGTCCCCTCCCAGTTTGGCATTCATGTCGCCCATTAGAACTTTGATATCGCCACCAAATGGTGTCTTGTCCAGTGTTGATTGAAGTTGTCTGTAGAAATCCTCCTTTTTCTCTTGCTCTGCATTATTTGTAGGTGCATAGCATTGTATGATTGTGACCTTTCTTCCTTTTGAGTTGAATCTTGCTGTCATGATCCTGGAGGAGATTGGTTCCCACTGCATGAGAGCCTTCGATGCTCTTGGGGACATCATGATAGCCACTCCCTCAGTGTGCTCGTGGTTGTCGTCTGGGTGACAATATCGGAGTAGATTATTGATTCTCCAGTTGACAGTTTGGAGAGTCCACTCCCATTCCATCTGCTTTCGCAAATCCCAAGCACTTCGATGTGATACCTTCTCATCTCCTTTGCAATCTGGGCTGCCTTGCTGAGTTCAAACATCGTGCGGACATTCCATGTCCCCACGTTTACTTTCGCTTTCATCGAGGGAGAGAAGACATATCGGCCAATTGGCTTCCCGAAGGCTTTCACAGACTGGCGTCATTTCGCCTCTCCGATTCCAGCGGGGAATAAGTTTGTTTTCATTTTTTATATTTTGTTTGTGCTTTGAAGTTTCTTTAGCGGTTAGATTTGTTTTACGGGGTAGGGTTGCTAGCCCTATGCCCAAAATTCCCTCTTTACCCGGGCTTAGGACCGGCTAGTAACTAGTGAACTAGTTAACCGGGCGAGGTTGCAGATCTAGATAGGTGCAAACATATGTGCGGCCGAACCAACATATGATCACTGTTCGAATACGTGGTCTGTAAGCAGCAGCAATCTTCATTCACTCCGCTCTGGCGATAACCGGTAGCAGTATGGTATGTGTCCAGGACTGAGTTGAGGTCGGTGGATGCCATGCCAGATAATATATCTCTACATATTTAAAGTTCGCACTGGCCAAGAACAGATGGTTTGCTGAGCACAGTTATAGAAGGGGATCATCGCCATTTTGTGCTGCTGGGATTCCGAATGCGCAACGTGCCTCTCTGTTTGACTTAACCTACCCACTAGTGCCTTGATATCACCTTTACGTCAACCACATCTGAGCGTTTGTCTTTCAGTAGGAGGCTAGTCAGTTTTGGGCAGAACTCATCCTTCAATCCGTCCGAACTGCAATCAGTGGGTGCAGAAGCAAACTACAAACAGGCAACGACGGGTTTCTCTATCCTACTAAATCTTCACCACCCCATTCGCTTGAACAGCGAATAGGTGGTTGTCAGTTGTAATCCACTCAAGCAGTGGACTTTCGACTTTGTTATGCTTACATCTGCAAAACCGTAAGAGCTATTCATCAAATCTCCAGAAACCAGATAGATGAATTTCACAGACTCACTATGTTGACCAGGTGGATTTGAGTGAATAACCAAGCTCCGGTACTGTTTTTTTGTCTGGCAGACACAACACATACCCATGGCCCGAGATGCTAGAGTTTTGGTTAGTGAAGCTTTAGTTTTACTTATGCACTGTATTACAAAAAAATCTGACTTTATTTGTAGACTACTGGTACAATACATATTGAAGTGATTATCGAAAGATTTAAGTTTGTACCTGTTGTTATACTGTAAACAAAATAAAGAAAGTTAAGAAGCAACAGTTTCCCCACATTTTCTCCCAGGCATAAGAATTGTCTACAAATATGAAAATGCAGTGTTCCCACTAATGTCTACAAACACATGAGATATAATTGTGCCAAATAATGTGATAAAAGCCGACAAACAAAATCGACATATAAATGAAACACATCCTAGTAAACGTCCACAGATCTCCAATGGTTCTGCAACTGATATTAGTCCATGATGAACATCGACTTCAAATCAATAAATCCCCACAAACCTCCAAATTCATAAAATCTCCATTTATATGTAATTTTTGTAAAGATATTTCAGTACAGGCGCCATGTGCACATTCATATCCCAGTAATGATTCATATAAAAACCTATTTACGTCAAGGTATAGACTTTAAAAAGAAAAAAACAGCAGAATCCTCGAATGAGTAAATACATTGGGAACATGAACTGAGCTTGGACAAACGGAACGAGAGACACTTCCACAAGTACTTTTATGATAAAGCTGAAGAATAGACGTTCTTGATAGATGCAAACCACTCACTTGACAACTCACCACAGACTTTGATATGTTCCCTGGTATTTGAGTACAGAGTCGATAAATATGGTGTGTCAGTCACTTGTCTATTCATACTCCGAAGTCTGTTGAAGATTGGATCAATGTACCCTCTCCCAAGGTTTGAAGTGTCCAGTTAACCCGAGCTCAAGTCGGCGTCGGATGACTAGACCTTGGATTGAAAGTACGATGTTGGCCACAATCATCTTACGAAGACTTTTATCCTTTCATATAAACTCAAATGATCTAGAATAGACCGGTTCGACCACTTGTGATTCAAACCCAATAGCTACAAATCTGGCTACTGTGCCGAGTAACCACCTACCTTCATCCTTAGAAACTGGTGGCTAAATATCGGGTTCTGCTACTTTGGATCGTTTCAGGTTTCAAACAGCCTTCTCAACTTCGAGGGGACTTAGATCATTATTATAAACCATTCACGCCCGGGTTGAATGTTGGTAAGTGAAGCGTGGCTACAGATAAATTAAACTAATCTTCAAAATGTTGACGCTAGTCCCTGAAAGTTACCAACGACCTATCATTTTCCTGCAATGTTCTTACCAGCAAGCATCCTTCTTAATGTGGCCATATTGCCAAGTACTACCCAATGTTGATTTCTTCATCAGCTTCACACTCGCTCTTCATCGTAGTGAGAATGACTTTTGTCGTATGAAGTAGACTGGAAATCTATTGTCTTCATCTGCCTTTAGTTGTAGGTTACGCACTATCTTCGTCGCTGCTTTTATAACAAACCTCAGCAAAATCAGACCTGCTGCCATGCCCAAATAAGTGATTCGCTATCTCTCCTCTAAATACATGTTTGATGTTCACATCTTCCAACTGAACACAGCTGTTTCCTGACTTCGTTAAGGTAAAAATATAAACGTGATCGTCCTAAGGCACAATCGGAGTTCAAGCAGGTACTCCAGAAAGAGTGAAAATCGTTCCCCAATCCAGCCATCTTTCAATACACTAAGTTTGGAATCTAAACATCGCTATGAGAAGATAAACATGAACTGGCTGGATTATTTACGTTATAAACATTACTACGCTAATGGAATTATAATCAAAAAAGATAATACTGGTAGAATGGAAACATGAATAAGCTAGGTCACCACCAGTAGTATGAAGCTTTGATTCGATCTGCACTTATTGTCTATCCTAAGTATAATTACACTGGCTTAAATACTCTGTTTCCTAGACAAATTATTCATTTGTGATCAGATCGTTCGAAGTCTGTAGCGCCAACATATCACGTTTCGGTTAATCTGCATTTTTTTCGTTACGCTGTTTGAATCTGTCGATGTAACAAAATTTCTTAGCTAGAAATGTGCATCCGATTAGTCCAGTTACCCGATATCAACAATGGGTGCGAATGTTGGCAACACATAATACGGTTGTCTCACGATAAAATCGAAAAACTGAGAGGTTTATCTCTGCGATTGCCTCGCGAAGTGAAGCGGTTAACCCGAGACCAGTAATTCTTTTCTACAGTTTGTACCAGTAAAAAGTGTAGTCAACAAAAGCATTCCGCGACCAACCAGACCCTTATACGCTAATTAGGAGGATGCTACATGTCACACAGTTTGACTTAGCTTGAGAGGATTAGTGTCGATAATCTTTAATGTAGGCAGATATGTAATCTTTTCTGCACTGCCTAGTGAAGTGATGACCTTTGGAAATAAAATGCGAATTTGCCTCAGCTTCGTAAAACAGATGGTCCATGGTACTGAATCAATCACTGAAGGGATTCCTAGGTTTCATAGACTCGTCTTGTGTTCAAAGGCTTTGCTCTTCAAGGTTGAGTCGCCAACATTTAAAGAAAAGCATGTAAAACCACATAACCTAAGCCAGAACTTCGGGGAAGAAGACTGGCAAATCTGGGGAATTTCGTGCGTCTCCCAATATGAGCCGGAAGTAAAAGTCCCGGGTTTTTGCCCGGTAAGATAGCCTGATGTAGATGCTGGCTGAGCTAACCAGATGTGAAACACAATAAGTAGGCAAAAGACTAGGAAACATGGTAATCTTTCATATCATATGAGAATGTAACTAGAAAGAACTCGAGATGACAAATAAACTGTAATTAAGTGACAACTAATGTCTCAAACTCAAGCTACATCAATTAAAGTGAATCAAGTCTCAGATAAACTACTCAATGGTACAGCCCATACTGACGACTGCACTCTTTTAATGCCTCAGAGAAACCACTGCATGCGCTGATATCACTCTGACTTTGAGCGCAGTGAACTAATTCATCAATGTGGTACTGGCAAGGACTTTGATACTCCGTTGAACTTGCTGCCTGTGTAGCAGGCTGAGGTGAGCTGCCACTACTACCACCCGAAAACGCTCCTGAGATAGCATTGCCAAGCACGGACCCAACAGCTACACCACCGGCAGTCGCTGCCATTTGTCCCATCAACCCCGGTTGTCTTGGTTGAGCTGGGGGATGCGCAGGAACTGATGGAGGTGGACGAGCAGGCAAAGTCGTACGAGGACGAGGTAGTGGTCTCGAAGGACTTGAGCTTCTAAAGTATTCCATTAAAAAGAACCCGAAATTAAGGTAATTACCTTCGTGGCATGATCAGAAAGCGAAAGTACTTTGAGCTGAACGCGGGCAGTTACTCTTACAAGGTCACGTGTTAACAATAAGAAACCCACAACATTGAACTGCCAATTTAGTGCTGTGAAAAACTGCTAAGTGAACATACATATGAACTACACTTTAGTGACTGTAAACCTGGAGAATGACCAATCGCGTTGCAAATGATCCGTTTAAGATCCTGGTTACGTCAGCTTACTGTGTTATTGGCACTGCATAAACCTTTTATTAACCATGTAGAAGATTACGTTGCAGGCTGTATGTGAAATTCTGTGGGTGGGCAGTGTGCTTGAAATAGATGAATACCTTGCTCGGAAACTTAAATGTAGCCTAGGAAGGTGATTTAAATACGTCTTGGTAAGTTTTAACTTACTCAATGTATGTGTCTTGGGAGACCACAGATTATTGCTGTATTCTATCAAAGGACATTCTCGATTGACGAAAGATAGATAAGGAAGATCTTCTCCAGCAGTTTATCGGAAATATCTGGCTTATGACATCGCAATATATACAGACGCTTGGAAGTCATATGTCCTTTTATCAGGAATAGGTTAGACCAATCACGCTATATTTCAAAAAAGGCACCTCGTTCACCGGACAAACGAAATGCATGCAAATAACTTTTAAGTAATATGGAGTGGTATCAGAAGGTGTTTGAGATTTCAAACCAGACTGTGACGGGAGACTTGCCAATCTCATTTGTATGATCTTGTCTCACAGGGACTAGCGGTAATGCAGAAAAAAGTATGGTATCAAAGATGAGAAATCAATTAAAAATTTAGATAACTCCATTTTTTAGGTAAAAAAGATTAGAAGGTTGTAAACAAACCACCACTGATATACTTGATTCTGATTGTTCAGCGCATACTCGGACGTCATTCACTGTCCGTAAAGTCTAAAGCAATAGCACATATCGAATGATGAATTATGAGAGCATATGCCATTTTTACAGGCAATATCTGAACGTTATTTCCCTGTTGAATCTGTAAAAGTTTAGAAGGAACCAAATCATCGTGCCATACAAAGTCTTTTAGAGCGAGCAGTTGTTCAGATCTTGCTTGTCACAAATATTGGCTGGGAGAGATATCGTTAAACAGCACTGGTGAAAATTAATGAGGGTTTAATCATTCAGTATGAGGAGCGATAGTGAGTCATTACGTCTATAAGGGTATATTGCATATCGAGTGTTGCTAACAAACGATTCCAAAGATATGCCAGTGTTCGACGTTTGAACTGTCTACAAACGGCGAGTGAAACTGGGATGCACGGCGAATACAATTTTGGGGCCGATATCTATGGTTTCATGCAGAGTGTAGGAATTGTCTAGGTCCATAGTGTTGCAAACAGAGTCACTTGAGTAAGTAGGGCCCGTGATGCAATACTATCCAGCCGCTGTCGTGACATTACGGCGGAGGGTATAAGGGGTTCCACCATCAAACCATCCGACAAGACTTCAAGGCCGGCGCGTCATGAGATCACCCTCGGTCAGCTTCGTTCTCAGGTGAGTGGCTGCCAGGGCTGAAAGAACTTTCATGTTTGGATGCAAACGGCATTTAATACCACTATTTCTGGTTGCACTCCCGATTGGAGCTACGAACTTGGGAGAGGTTATAGTCTGGGATTAATTATTTCCAATGCTGAAGTTGAAAGATGCGGATGATTGACTTTCACTCGTTATGTTCATGATGATTAAGAATCTTCGTTGCGAACTGGCGCCCGTGTACATATATATTTCACAGTTCCGGAATTATCAATGAAGTCCAATGAAAAATATATTCACATCATTATTCTTAAGCAAAATACACGAAGTGTAACAACGGAAGTATTAGCTTCAAGCTGTATTTTATCCAAGCGATTTGTGTCGTGATTAAATTTAAACCCCGGTTGACTTTTTTAATGCAAAGATAATACTTCTGTTTGTCTGGTCCTGTCAATTGGGGCTTAGTACTTCCGTTTGTATGTTTCATTCCAAAACATAAACACTACCCCCCAAGGACCGTAGGCACGGATTGGGAATGCCTGCCATAAAGAAGCATGTAGCTTATGTAGAAATGCATTCATACCGGTAACATTGGTGCATGCCCGTACACTCAGGAGTAATTATTGTTATTACTGAGGGGCCAAGCAATTCGGATATCCAGGGACTCACTGACACCTCGGCAGCTGTGTAGTCTAGCGCGTCTGACAATGGAACAGCTACAAGTTGGCCAGTAAATTTGTCAATATGAGTGAGGAGACAGTCGAAACCTTCGGATGAGGGAGACGACGTAACTATTTCTGGATGTAGCTGCTGGAATCCAGTCGCAAAAACGGGGGCTGAAAAGCAGAAGCGTTGGTTTGATGATGAATTCCAAATCTTGACGACTGTTGCAAGTTCGCTTCTACTGTTTCACGTCGTGGCTAACATTCGGATTCACAAAGCTGTCAATAATCTTTTATATAGGAGTAAAAGTGGGGCACTGAGTTATATTGCAATTCAAATTTAGTTGACCTATAAGGTGTACGACACGGTTGATGAGTGTTATCCAGTTTTGATGGAGCTGTGTTCTCAGAGCTGGATAGCCTTATCAATCAGAATCGTCCTCCTGGGCTACAAATGTTCTATATCATCCCAATTATTACTTGCTGAATCACTCCTGAAAAGCAATCTATTATTCACAGCCACATAAAGATGTTAGGCTACGAATACGGACAGTGGGTCTTCTCGGAAACGAAATCAGGCAAATAACACTGTTTCATTGTGTGATGTGCATAATAGGTCGGCTGAAATATAACTCCCATCGATCAGCTTGATCATGGCTGTGGTTCTAGTGTGTGAAACGTCATGCAGCACATCGAGTAGAGTAAGTCACATCGTTTTGGAAACAAATAGGTGGAGCCTTCTAATGGATGTCTCGCGCACCTCTATTGTCCCTCTATTCAGGTATTGGAAAATTCACTCTGGTTTGGTCACAACCGTCGTCCTTCTTTTGGCCCGTGGTACTTTCACCGTGGTGTTTCGTGTTCGCTAATTCACTACGAAGGTAGACGTAATATGACTATAAGTGCTGAGTAGTATTGCAAGGATATTATTTTACTGATTTCTAGGGGATGACAAGCGTTTAGGTTGTGAAATCACGACCAGCTGTGCGAACAAACGCTGTTGCAGATCCACGAGTTCTCTTCTGGCACTGTTCTAAACTTCGGCATTCATTATAAGTGTTCCGAGTTCCCTGAACTCTGTGTTTACAGCAGAGTATCGTGGCTTCATTTAGGTTCTCTTTAGAACTTTTGCATTCGTTTCATTCGGTCAGGGAGCCACTGAAACAGTGTTTTGGGAGTTGAACGCTGGAATTGGCGGTTATTGGAGGGGGACTAAAGGCTCGGTTTAACACGATAGGAATCGAAAACTGTGCCACAATTTTTATCTTCGTGATGTGACTGAGGTATCCGCGGGCGTTTGTGACAGGCTTTATGATGGCTGTATGAGGAATATATTTTGGCGTCACTGGTGATTCGGTAATCATTCCATTCAATTACGGGTTGCCGAAATACGACGGTAACCTAGCTGGCTACCGTAGCTTCATGAAAGGGATGGAAGTATTGTTGCGTGGCGGTGAACCAGGCAACGAGATTAAACCAGCATGTTCGATGGGTAGAATTGGTGCCGACACCGCATGAGCAGTGTAGTTTTGAAATATACCGCCTCCAGAAGTTTGTGTTAAGGCAAGACGGGTATTGCGCCTCTGATTGTTTATGATTATTAGAGGTGCGCTGCGGAAGGTCAGGGTAGCCGAAGGCAAATTAGGGACCTACCGGCTCCCTCGGATGATTCACTAATTTATTATGGTTGGCTGAAACTACCTCAGTGAACTGAATTATTCAAACGTTACTGGCATGGTTACAAAGCGCCCTAGCCAGTAGTTTACAACAAAAGTGGATTAAAATTGGTGCTCGAAGGTAACCAGGGGAAAGTAGCTTCGTTCTGAGGATATTTTGAAAATGGTTGAGGATTGTATAATCTGGCTGGATCGGCTCTCACTTCAAACCTTGTCCCGCGGGTAAAACATATGGGGAGTCATTGCGGATGGCATGCTATGGGGACTACCAAGAAGGATGCAGTAGGATGTAGTTGCTTGTTGTTCAACAGTGCGGACGTGCTTGTGAACTCTACAGACTTTCTGGGGAAGCCCGTTGCCCGGAGATGGGATTTTGCAAAGAAGGCCGTGCTAAGATTCGACTGCCTAAGGAGAGAACACAGCAAAATACATCCCCATTTGAGTACAGGTGGTGATGGCAGCAACACTAAGGGGAGCTTTTCACCGCTTAAGGACACTTGTGACAACGTAAATTTGGTAGAAGCTAACTATTTGTCGCTAGAAGACAGACGTTGAAGTTGTTTCGTCGCCTGAGCTGCAAAACCCAGTGGTCAATTTGCCTGTTGGTCGCTATGTGCTAGAGGCCCACGAGGTGCGTGAAGAAAGATATAAAGGTTTAGACTTATGTGCTCCGAGAACCCAACTTCTTTGGACAGTAGGAGATCCTGTGTTTACGAAGTGTGCATCCTATCCGTTAAAAACCTGATGTGAATTTTCAAAGCATCATACAGGCAGTGCATATTGCAGGCTTCAATGAGATCAGCTAAACAAAGAAGTTCTGGTCAGTGCAAGGTGTCATGGGTGCACGGGTCTTGTGCGTATGAAAGCAGACACTTAGCAGTAGGTCAGTCTTGGAAGAATAAAAATACGTGCGGTTCCGAGTGGGGAGTTTCCTTTGCAACCCAGTCCTTCATGTAAGTGCTAGACGGTCGACAACAAGTACATGGTGAAAAGTTACATCGAAAATGCGGCAGGATAAAACGAACCGAGAAAGTGGCATCCACTGCATCATCCAACGTTGAATCCAAGAAAGTTTGGAAGAATTCGTTTTGTGGTCAGTTTTCCTGCTAGGCGCGAAGGTCAGCTATTGAATGACATGCTTCTAACGGCCTGGATTTTGAGT